TTTGTAATGACACAATACAATATCAAATTTTAGAAAAGAACTAAGGTACAAAAAATAAGAAATAGTGCATTGAAAAACTAAAATAACATAATATAACAGAAAAATTCAAAAGGAATTTCGATAAACTTGATATTGGAGATAAAAGCTGGGATAGTATGAAAATGGATATAATTTTAGTTGCAGATAAAATAATTCATAAAAATAAAATAGACTGTGGAAGCCATGGATGATTGGATAAATTCTTGAATTGATTGAAAGAAGGAACAAATTAAGGAACAGAAATTAAAATTTATATAAATAGGTAAAAATGAGATGATAACAAAATGCGGTCAAGCAAAACAATGTTAGCTAAATCAAAACATACAAGAAATAGAACATGATCTACAAAGCAAAAATACAGGCAATATCTATAATAAAATTAAAAAACTGCAATATAAACCCAAGACATACAATAACAAAGTTAAAAATAAACATGGAAAAATTCTGTTTGAAAATAAAAAGATATTAGAGAAGTGGAAAATATATATGGAAGAATTGTATCGAAAATGAAGAGGAATATATAGAAAATGAAATAGATGTAAATAAAAATAGAAATGAACTCGAAATACTGATAAAAGAATTCGAGGGGTCTCTAGGAGAATTGTGTGACAAAAAAGCAACAGAAATTGACGATATCTCGGCTGAACTACTGAAAAATATAGGAGAAAAAACAAAACATCAATTGTTTAAAATTATTAAAAATAACTATAATAGTGGAAGTCTACAATTGGAGTTTATCAAATGTATAACTATAACAGCTTTGGAGGAGAGCAATGCAACGGAATGCGGAAACTATAGAATTATTGCTCTCCTTTTTCATGCACACTTGTACACATCAAGTAAACTTGATAAATTTAAAATGAAAATAAATTCTATGAAAATCAAAACGATGCTTATAAGTAAAATAGAATCAGATCTAGATCTTGAGCAATACAGGATTACAACAGGTCCGAATATTCCACTAACTGGGAAGTATCATCATAGTTTCCAATTATAAATCAACACTAGGCATTAGAAGAAGAATAGCATTGGCAATACGTAAAAAAGTCGTTAAAACATTTGTTTGGAGTGTGTTTTCATATGACAGTGAAATATGGACTATTGATATTAAAAACAGAAGCAAACTAGAAGCATTAGAGTTATAGATATGAAGATAAATGGCAAATACAAAATGGTTAGACAAGAAAAGAAATGACCAAGTGCAAGAAGATGTACGAGAAAAAAAACAACTAATGAAGGTTATTGAATCAAGAAAAATAAAGTTAGTCGGACACATCATCCAACACAATGACTTTATAATCAATTTCTTCGAAGGAAAAATAACTCGGAGAAAACTAAAAAGACGGTAAAGGAAACAATATTTTGAAAACATCCTCGAACTAGCGAACTGTGAGTCTTTTGCTTCACTGAAGAATTTGGTGTTATACAAAGAAAATAGGCTTTAATAGACAATGAAGATATGAGTATTACTGATGTGTGCGTAGATGATGTGAGATATCGTGTTAAGTGAATGTTTAAGATTAAGGTGTTCGACACCAAGTAGAATTAAAGAAGAGAAAAAAAAGTTATTAGAAAAAATTATCTTTAGGATTAACTTTTTAAAGTTAAATGGGAACCTATTATTATTTTATAAATATTAATTATAATTGATATAATAATTATTATATCTATATACAGTTAATTTGCTATTATAAATCTGGAGTAACATAACATCGCAGACTCAATCACGGTGGAATTTAATCATAAGTATACTATATTATACGTCATATTATATTTATACAAATAATTTATCATGATAAATAATGTTGATATTAATTTTAGAAGTTATAACTTGCGATGATCAATACATTTCAAATATGCATAGAAAAGGTTAAGTCGGCTGTATAAATGAAAATACTAGAAAACATCATTAGCATATTTATCATAGTTAATAAGTAAATCGGTTAGAAAATAAAATTAATATTAATAATTAAATTTTTTAAATACTTTAATTTTATTTTTATCACATAGTTTTAATCAAAATAATATTTTTATAAAATTATAGTAAACTTAACAATACATTTCTCTTTATTTTCATTTAAAAATATATATAACATTTAATTTACAAATTAACATAGGGATATATAAAATAATTATTTACAAATTTTAAATTTTGTACATGTACATGATAAATACTTTATCACAAATTTAAATTAAGTTTATAGGTAGAGATAACTAAAATTTGATTATTTATTTTTATTTCAAATACCTTTATGGCACCAAGCTGATGTATCGTGGCTGTTGAGTATTTGATACCACTTGTTAACTTTAAATTCTAAAGCGATTTTATTCATTTTTCAGTGAATAATTTATGATTATATAATCGAAAAACGTACATAAATTTATTTACGTGTGTAAAATTTTTATATTATGATAAATAATACAATTATAATAATCATCTACAGAAGTAAATTTTTTTAATGCCCCATTTTTCAAACCTTTATTTTTTTTTCCTATTTCTTTTCCACAACGCATCATATACCTTTTGCTACATATACCAATTTATTCGTTTAAAATTTTTCCACCCATTTCATCTTACGTAAGACCGATATTTTTTTTATTGACAAGCGGCATACCATGTGCAATGTTAGGATCGTATTTACTAGTATCGAATTAAAATATATTTTTTTATATCATTATACACATGTACCGTTTGTATTTCATATAATACAAAGAGTCAGTATCTGTATATACTAATTTGCATTTATCATCATACATTTTTTTCATGAAACTATAGTAAAAATCATATATGATAGTCTTTGAAATTTCTAACACTGAAAATCCTACATAGCAAGGTCTATCATATTCAATCTTCACTTATTTTTAATGGATGACTGCCAAGTTACTTTTAAATATTGACACACTATCGAAATTGGGTTTTGCTATTAGCACACTAGCCCCATAATGTTTTCCCATTTTGTTATAATTTTTACATCGACAAATTTTTCAGGATTTTCTAAATATTTTTCATATATACAATTTATCCTTAATTTAAAATATTCAATTTTGAAAGTCCACTTTGCTTCTGTACGTTTTTTAGTATTTAAATCTATATAAACCTTCATCCAAGCCGACAGTTCAAATTTTAATACTTTATTAATTTTTTTTATTTTAACCCCTTGACTAGTGGCCTGTTTTAACAATCAATAGTGAGCGATATAATTTTTTTTATCATATAAATTTGGAATTAATTTTTTGAATTTAGATCCAAGTGGTATAATATTCTCCAGATATAAGGGTAAGACAGAATGATCGTTATGTAAATTCTCACCGTATTATAGATCTATATCTAAAATGACCCTCAATTGTTATCATCCGCAATTTTTGATATATCTAAATCAATAATTTCAGATTATGTCATCTTTTTAAAATTTCCATTTGGAAGATGCTGACTCAGTGCAGATCTATACAAATTAATTGCATCGAGATATAATAAATATGTCGATGGCTTTGACGAATCATAGTCATCGCACTATTTATTATTAGCTTTAGTATAATGAGATGAACATTGAGATACTCCCTCGCAAATCCCATTATTAATAAAGCTAATCATTTAAATATCACTCATCAATTCCAATTTTACCCCAGTAATTCGCTTCATAGCTTCGAAACTTAATCCGGGTGAAGTTATAAAATGATAAGGATCAAGCTTAATTTTTAATTTTTTAAACAAACACTTCGAAAATTTTCAAAAATATCAGCTAAAAAAGAAACATCAGTTCTTAAATATAAATCAAAATAATCCCCCAAAGTTGAACAGTTAAATTTATACCAAACTTTTTTTTGCAAGGACATAATCCTCGTCTGTTACTTCACTCGTATTCAATAAACTATGGAAGGCGAATTCCCTAATAATAAATTGTGAATCATAGATTTGCATATTATGCAAAATTACCGGGACAAATTATGGTATCGAACATTCCAGATTATAATCCCTGTGTGCTGTACCTCGATACTTACTCGTTAAGTGACAGTGATTCATAACCTTCTCATGAAACCGTAGATTACCATTACAAATGTGACAAGTGACTGCCTTATGATAACTGTATTCATGTTGTGTAGCTAAAGCTTCCATGGATAGAGGGTTCGAATTAATGTCACTTATACGGAAAATATCTTCTCTAAGTCTAAAAATAAACACCTTCATGCAATCACTCCCGCAGTATTCCTCCATGCGATCCAGATTTTCATCATAAGAACATTTAATTAAATAAGAAAAACTGCGTGGTTCATGAACAGAAATTTTATTTGAATATGAATTAATCGGATTAGGATCGCATGTAGCAATAGGTGTTAAAATACTTTCAAAATCTCGTAGATTTCGTATTCCACAGGGAATTGCATATGGAAATGTTGAAATTGTTTTTTGGGGGGGGTTGATAGTATTGTTTTCACTTACATACAATTATATTGTTGGTGATTATTTAACTTATGTTTAGATTAAAAAAAAATAAAAGATAGTCATCGCATAAAAATTTATGTGTCTTATGTTTAGAAAACTGCGTAGATACCAACCGTTCCATGTTAGAAATACAACAAAAATGTTCGGTGGGTTTATCATTTTGATCTAAATACAATAAATTTACGTGTTTACGGAGTTTATTTTCGGTTAAGTCCAACAATTTTTTTGTTGACATAAATGTAAATATTTACACTTATTTCATTCATTTTTTCAATTTTTTTAATATGCGTTAGTGCCAATAGGAGTAGTAACCCCCGAGTTAAAAAAGACGAGTTCTATTAATCGATATAGTTTTTATCCCGAAATAGATAAAGCGGGAATCTACAAAAACATTTATAATAGGACATTGTTATTAGATATACAAATAGTTGCAAAAACACTTAAATGGAAACACTTACGTAAAAAAACTAAATTATTATAATTTGGTAGTATATGCGCACAATAGACACTCAGGTCTGAGTGCATAAACAGTTCTTGTCCACCTTTTTAACAACTAAAACTAAAATTAATGGTACATTATTTCTCGTTTTGTAAAATCCCACAAGTCGGATAACTGTTTTGGAAGCTTAAAATGGACTTTAAAGTATTAAAAACTTAAAACGAGGATATGCGCATCCATGATGGTTGTAGTTACACTAAAAAAAGGTGCTAGCTCGAAGGGAATTTATTTGTTGAATATTTTTCTCAACTGTTATATGAAAAAAGAAACTATAACTTCTATTTTATTTGTTAACAAAAATATCTGATTACATAGGGTAAGGAAATATTATTTTTATTTTTATTTTTTTTTTTTTTGAGATTTTGAAAACTATTAAGAAGAGTCTTATTATAACATCAATTTTAATTAGAATGTTTATTGTATCTAATATTATTATAAAAAAAAAACTTAAACTATATACTATATAATTATTTAAATTAAATTATTTGATGTATTAACGTTTGTAATTACAAGTAATACATCAACTTTTGTTATATTTTATAACTATATTTTTTTCGCGATTATTTATCCGCAATATTATGTATTGTTATATATTACTGGCGATATTTTACAGCATACTACAATAATCTAGGTAGGTGATTGATAATTTAATAAAATAATTAATTAAAATAAAACTATTTATTTTATGTATTATTCTATAATTTTGTAATTTTTATCTTAATATCTATAATATATTAATCTTGATACATTTAGTTTATTTTTAATCATTGATAAATTAAATTTAAAGTTATTTTAAGTTAAGATTTTATTAAAAATTGAAACGATTGTAAAATTTAAACTAATTAAATTAGTCATAAATTAAGATTTTATTATCTTACCCGTGCATGCAGCAAGATAAAGATTTAACATACTATGAGATTCCTCCACATCGAGGTCTAACAATTAAATCAATCTATCAATTAAGTAAAATTAGAGGATTTATGTTTGCATAAATGGTTGTCCAATATCGTGATATTTTGCTAAATATTTCAAATTGAAAAAATTCTTTTTTAATTTTTTAAGATAATAATTTAATTACAAGTTACAATTCAGTTTGTTTAGCTTAACAAAATCGATACAGTAATATCTAATAATTTTTATTGATAGACACAATAACATTTTGAAAATGGAAATCATAGAACAAATACAAAGGGGTATTATTTTTGGATATACAAATTCTATTATATAGTTTATAAAAACAAAAGTTGCGGCTTTGATAAATTATACTAAATGTTACACATGATCAAGTTATAATTTAATAATATTTATATATTTTAATAAATACTAGACTAAAGTTTATTATCAACCATTGAATTTTTTTCAAGGAATTCAAAAATGTTTTTGGTCCAATTTTAAAATCTTCAATAAATGACTTTTGTATAGCAAGTTCTATTCTATTAAATTTTCAAAATGATATTTTTGTTACATTTGCCTTAAAAAAAATTAAAATCTACTTTTGTATGTAGTTTCTTTTTCAAGCCATTAGTATGTATTTAATAGAATGGAATAAATATTAATGATAACTATTTAACTAAAAAAAATAATACCTTCTTAAAGTGAAGAAACAATAATTCCGAATCATCATTATATATTTTTATTATTAAAAAGAATATAAAATAGACATAGAGAATAACATATTTTATAAAACATTAATTGCTATGATTTTCATAGATACTATTTAAAAAATAGTATCTTAATGATAAAAATGTATTAACCATTTTTTACAAAAACATGAGTGTCTTTTAAATTTAAAATTATAAAACTAAAGCAATATAGTAAATGCTTTACTATATAAAGAGTCTAAAAACGAAGTTAAGTTTAAAGACGTTTATAAATAACAATGCTATTTAGTTTATTAATTAATTTAATTTTAATCTTATACTAATTAACGCTTTATGAGCCAAAAGAAATTCAGTTTTCAGTAGATCGATTAATATCTTCTTAATTACAAATGTCCAAAAAAGTTTAATCAATTATACAATTTTATTGTTCTTTTATCATTTTTTAATACTCTAAGTTTAATTTTTATTAAAGAGAACCAAATTCTAAATATTTATGACATTTAATACTTTTCCAATAAGAATTTTGATTGATACTGTGACGTAATAATGGTTTCAACGCTCCAGGACAGTTTGTATTTAATACCCCTTAAAATGTTTTGATCAAATTTACTGTGGAAAAAATTTCTTACTACTCACCGCTAATAAACCTTAGATATTTTGCTTATTAAAAAAATAGAACATACAAATGTATGCAAGAATAAATTATAAACAACATTACATACATTTTATCGGGTTTGCAATAATAAAAATATGAATAATACAAAGTGGTATATTGACCAAGTTCGGATGTTAGAGAATTTTGGTTAATTGTTGAGCATCGAGTATCTATCGTGGCTGTGCAGTCCGAGAGCTTAGAACAATAAAAGCACATAGATATATGTAAATAAGTTCTTCTTTATAAAGATAAATTCAATAATCTGGTTGTTAAATCTCTGTACAATATAATTTATTAAATAGAAACTATACTATTTATATTGAACTATACAATTTTTACTTTCATAATATTGTAACGTTAACAACTTTTTGCACGTTATCTCGCATTATTGTGCTGTAAGTTAACTAATTATAAAATCATAAGAATATAATTTTTTTTTGTGAGCCTATTAATATTATAACTACTATATTATGTCTGCCAACAACATTTGTATAAACATTTTTTACAAATTAAAGAAGTTATTTCAGGGCAGTCAAAAATAATTTAGAGGGTAAAAGTAAAATTTTATCTAGAGGTAGATGTCATGATATAGCTAATTTTTAAAAACAAAATACGACAAATTTTTATTCTAAATAAAATTATTTCTGAATAAGTCTACTTTTACTGTATTTGTATACAAATGAATTCTATTTTTTGTATTTTTTTTTTATTCTCAAATTGCAAAATAATAATGCTTTTTACTATGATTTATTACTGTCTCAATATCAAACGGTATATTCAATAAAAAAACTAAACCTTTTTTTGCATTAATGAAAATCTCACAATGTTGTCATTAATAATACCTTATCTAAAATACAAACTTAGCTAATTGATACCACTTATAGACTAACAACGTTTTTGAAACTGTTTAATCAGGTAGTTTTATCAAATATTTTCATGCGACTTAATCATAATACTCGAAACAAAAATGTATCTNAATATTTTCATGCGACTTAATCATAATACTTGAAACAAAAATGTATCTTAATTATGCATTAAATGAGAAAATGATAGGAAATGTTTACCCAAATAATTTTGCATCCTTCATATCGTTATACATTTTTTAAAATATCAGAAATAATTATGAAAGAAGGGGCAGCACTGTGAGTAGATGACAAAGTCAGTATTTCGCTTGCGAGTCACATGAAACACGACAACCGATCTATAATGTCAAACAGCAAAAAGCCACAAAATTTAGCTACCATGAAGCAATCCACTGAAAGGTCTCAGCAGTCAGAAGTCTCGTCGATCAATTTGTACCTCGCTGCAATGACAGGTTGATACATAAAAATTATTTATATCCCCTTTAAAACTTTAAATGATTTTTCCATGTTACTATCGACTATTAATATTTTTATAAGCTATTAGCACCAAAATCTTTTAAAGACGAAAAAACTTTTTAAAACCACTTAACTCAACAAATATAGCTTATATTAAAATGATATTTCTCATTAATTTTGCTAATAACAATAAAAACGTATCTATAATTCAATGTTAAAATAGATTTATTACTGTCAATGAATATATACAATGTAAAACGATATTACTATTTTTCTTAACATTTTTGTAAAATAATTCAACATTTATTGATAAGAAAAAAGTCAGCCCGTAAAATATCTAAGCAAACATTTTTATAAACATCTGACCTCAATTTACACAATAAACAACTAAACACTTGGTGGTGGGTAACTTTTTATAGGTATTTTTAAAGTTGTTTGGTTTTGAATAGCCAACAAATAATGTTGCTAAGGTAGTCAAATTATCTTGAAATTGTATTTTCGGTTATAGTATTAATAATTTCTCAATAAATGAGTCTAATCTATTATACTTATTCAGCAAACCTTGGAGCAACAGCAGCAGGATGTGCTTTAACATGGTCATCGCCAACGTTGATAAAATTAGTTAACGGAGGTGATCCAAGTATATCTCTGGTAATCACTAAAGAAGAAGCTACTTGGGTCGGTTCCTTAGTAACATTAGGAGCTGCTGTTGGACCAATACTTTCTGGATTTATACTGGATAAACTGGGGCGAAAAAATACTGTTCTATTCAGCATGATTTTGTCCATTATGGCATGGATCGTAATAGGTTTTATTCCTAAAATAAATGTTTTGTGTCTGGCTAGATTTATATTGGGTATTAGTGTTGGTTTAGTTTTCACAGCCGTCCCAACTTACATCGCCGAAATCTCTACAGTAATTGCATAATTATTATGACTATTTTGTATAAAAACTTTTTATTATTTATTTTGTAATTAGCCCAATTTGAGGAGTTCGCTTGGTACACTTATGCAATTCTTTCTATGTTGTGGTTTCCTAATAGAGTACACTGTAGGACCGTACACATCATACCTAACATTAGCATTGGTATCTTTGATTGCACCAGTTTTATGTTTTGCTACGTTTATGTGGATGCCAAATTCTCCACATTCAATTTTAAATAAGCCGGGTAGAGAAGAAGAAGCCTCAAGAGCATTATGTTGGTTCCGCGGGACTTCTCAGGAATCGGCAATAGCAAAAGAACTCCAAGAAATAATAGTACGTTATACGCCTTTTACATGCACTATAATTTTGTTATATTATTTGTAACACACATTTTATTTTAGTTATCTATAGAAGAAGCTAAAAAACAAAAATCAGGGTTCTATGAGTTGTTTGCCAATAAAGGCAACATCAAAGCTGTAATGATCTCTTTGACCATGGTGGGATTACAACAAATGAGTGGTATAAATATTGTATTACTATATAGTGAAAATATTTTCAAAGCTGCAAATACAAATTTAACTGCAAGTACCTGCACTATAATTGTTGGCGTGGTAATGTTAGTTACATGTAGTTTTACACCCACGATGGCCAATTACATGTCAATGAAAAAAATGCTTAATATATCTGCTATTGGCATGTTTTTTTCAGAAGTTAGTACAATTTAAAATTGAAATATCTTACATACACAAGTTATTCAATTCTTCCATGTATTTAATCCAATATTTTACTACTCTGAAGGTTGCACTTGGATTTTACTTTTTTTGTCCAAAATTAGGAATGGATCAATCCAGTTTACAATGGTTACCGATTGCTAGTTTAGTTACCTACATCATAGCATTTTATGTCGGTAAGATATTTTTGCAAAATCATAATTTAAAAAAAAGTATTAGTCGAATTTACGATATATTGTCTTCTCCTTGCAATATTTACAATTATGTTTTCAAAATTTGTTGATAGATAGACCTTCTCTTAATTTCTTTTTCCTATATTTTTATGAAGAATAAGCTTTAATAAAATTTGACTTTAAATTAGAAACATAATATTTTTAAAGTTAATTCGAATGATGATACAATTTTTTTTTTACAGGTTATGGACCGTTACCATGGGCAATTATGGGAGAAGTATTTCCTGCAAATCTAAAGTCTATTGCGACATCCATAACCGCGAGTGTTTGCTGGTTTTTAGGATTTTTACTTTGTAAAAATTTTAACACGATGAGTGCAGTATTCGGAATGGATTATGTTTTTTGGCTTTTTGGCTCTTTTTGCATCGTTGCTTTGATGTTCACAGTATTTGTATTACCAGATACAGAAGGCAAGACACTACAAGAAATTCAAGACATGCTGCATGGAAGAACTAAACGATCGATCAATGATAATGTTATAGATAAAGTATAATTTTACATATTTTTATGTTTTATTTCGTCACTTTAGAATATAAAGGTGTATTCGTCATTCGTCGACCCAAAAAATTAAATTTAAAAAAGTATAACGATGTGTTCTGACATATACATAGAGTGTTCAATAAATAAAGAAAAGCGTTTCTATTGTTCTCACTGTTTGTAACAATTGACCTGTTTCCTTAATTTATGAACAACTTGTTATATTTCTATTATTACCAAATATATATTTTTAATTTAATGTTGATATCAATTATCGTACTAATATATCAATATTTGAATATTTTATCGAAAGTTGACAACCACCGGTAAACGNAATATTTGAATATTTTATCGAAAGTTGACAATCACCGGTAAACGCTTATATTCATAATTAGATATCTCATCATAATTTTGTTTTGTAGAATTCGAAAGTGAAAAAATAAACAAACTCCGCAAAACTTATGTTTTTTAAGTAAAATCAACAGATCTAAAAATTCAATTTTTTTTGAAGCCTTTTTATTCTGGGATGACGAATTATCAAAAGTGACTGATTTAAGTGATAATAATTTAATATTGAATATAAGTTTACTGTTATATATATAGTTTATGTAAAATATTTATATTTTTTTATACATGTTCATGTACATCAAATTATGTACTAACAGACAGATTGTCTCACAAGAATTAATTTACTGAGCCAAGCAGAGTAACGCAAGCTATGTTATTCGTAGTACCACATATATCTGTACATACTTCCAGGACAGATTCTAAACCTTTCGTTATTTTTTTTTTTTTTTTAGAAAATAAATTACCTATAAAATACATGTTATGGATGAGTACTTTTTTTAGAAAAATTAAATCAAATTGAACTTTCTTGAAATTTTTTAAGAATGAATGCTTATTATAATTAGCATTTTCTTTTTAATTTGTTTACCTCTAATTATATAAATTATTCATTTTTCATAATCGCATGTATTCTATATTTTACAAACTAAAAACAAAAGACATATTTATAGATATTTAAACTAGTAAATCTTCGCAGACCATAGTATGACTATTGGTTAATTATTCTTTAAGTATATTTAGTAAATGGTCTTGTATAATATTATGTAAATTCATGAAGACTAAAATTGTGCGATAACTGTTAGCTTTTAAGACTTGCAGCTATCTATGCCTTATAGATCCATTTAATATACATTTGTTACTAAGTATGTATAATAATTAAATTTATCAAAAATAAATTATATAGCTACTTGAACTGAATTTTTTCTTCAATAATTAATAGCAAATATTGTTGACAAATAAATTTTTCAAGTTCTAAATAATTTTCATTTCAATTTTAATAATTCTGGATAAAGAAGATTGTTAAAAGTTTTTTTTGTATTAAAATAATTAAATAATGTGATACCAAAATATTTTTCTATTGTCATTTTGTGTATAACTTTACGGGATACTATGAAAATGAGTGCATTATATATTCATAACAGTAGGTTATAATAAAATAACACTTTCTTAGTTTCGCATAGATGCTAAAAATTATTTCCTAATCAATGAATAAAAATTCATCCTAAATGGTTTTAAAAGATATCGTTTACTTCATTTACTTTTAAACCTTTTATTCGTTACCCTGTGATTTGAATTAGAACAATTTCATGAAGGTGATTGTATTAACTTAAAGTATAAAGACTTTTGAGTAACCGCATGAATATGTGACATGCATTAGTAACTGAGTAAATTGAATGTAAATATTGATTTTTCTTGTACATTCGAAGAAAATGTGTTAGTTAAACAAAAGTAACAACTTCTTGTAGAATTCCAGCTTACTTTCAATTAAAAGACAATTGTATTTTGTGAATTTTGAATAAATAAGACGATTTAATTTATTTAACTATGCACTGGTTTCAATGAATTTGAAATTCAAATTTTAATATAATAACATAATAAATAAAAAACTTTTAATTTATGTAAAAAAATAAAATTTTTAAGACTGAAAGTAGATTATTTTAAAAATTCAAAAGAGAAATTATTTTGAAATAAATTTAAAAATAAATGTAGAACAAAAATCTTTTATTTATGTTTAATAAAATACCGGAGTATGTTCCAGTTTTTAAAAATGTGATTTTTTTTTGTATGTATAATGTATTTTACGGTACGAAAAAATAGTCATGCTATTGTATATGTAAAAAATATTTTTACGTTATGAAGTTGTATGTTTTAATTTTTTTTATGAATACTATGATTACTCAAAAAAGCACTTATATTGAAATTAAAAAAAAGATTAAATTGTTCATAATTTAGTAATCTGGTTTATTATCGATATTTGTAAATGCATTAATAATAAAACTACTTGATAATGAATATTCATTATTTTCTAAATACCTAAATGTTATCATTATTTTAAGTACTGATACAATCTTTGAAATTTTTGTGCACTATTTCTTAGTCCGAAGAACATTTTTTAAAATTCGACACTACCAATTGGTGGTACAATTACGGTTTTAAGAGTGTCCTCTTCAGCCATTTTTATTTAATTAAAAACTTTTTCTAAGTGTAACCTTGGGAAAACTTTTTTTTGTTTTTGACTATTGACGTCATAGATGTCTGACAGAGAAGATAAGACTGTAGTTGTTAGCATCACGCGTTTAATTTAAAATTAATTTTTTTGGCGGCCTAAATTCAGTGGGTTGGCAGCACCTCCGTCTTATTCATCGGTCAGCTCTTATCAACGGCCGGTGTCGGTCATGTTGTATTTAAAATTATATGTCAAAGTGATTTCTTCTGTACAAGAAAAAGAGCACTATTCATTGTATAAAAATGTTTGTAAAAAAAGTCAGTTTTGTTTGCAGTAATATTTGTTGGTTGTACATCAATCGTTTTCCTGCAGTTTCAAGTAATTATTGATACAAGTTTTTGTTCCATAGTTCATTTTGTTAAGTTCATTGGCCATTTTTAGGTTGATAAAGTGTAAATCATCGTGGTTGGTTTTCTATCAAGTATAAGCCACCATTGGATTTTTGTTGGATTTGAGTATTAATTAATTGGATATATCTATGGCATGCATTGGACTAAGAGTAATTTTTTAATTGAATATTATTTTGTAAAAAAAAAAACGGTAGAACAGTGGGATCGAGGCACAGTGTAGACAAGGCATAGATGGGACAAGTGTAGATGATATTTGACAGTGATTAAAATCACTATCATAAGAAACGCTTCGATGCAAATCTTTAGAAAGTGTTTAATTTTAAAAAATTGGTTATTTATTCCAAAAGCTACATGATCTGCTAGTTCCTTATTAATATCCTGATTAAGATAAAGTATGTCGAATGAAAAAAGGATTATTAAAAAATATTATTTCTCATAAAAAAATTATGTTGATCCATACACTTTTCAATAAGTTATAGCATTATAAAGTTAAAAATGTAAAAAATAAAATCGAGAATTTTCACACAATAATAGCATTCAGTAGCCATTTTCATCGTGAAGACAAAATAAAGTCCGAAATTTTTTTTTACCATAATAAAGTATATTACATAAACTTTAATTTAAGATATATATTAAAGTGTCAGACTNATTACATTAGCTTTAATTTAAGATATATATTAAAGTGTCAGACTTTCCGGAACACTTTCAAAAGTTAAGTTGAAAAAGTTCTACTTTCTAGATGCATNACCACGTCACCACTGTGCCGCGACCCCCCTGTGCTGGGTTTTTTTAGATTTGAACCCCCCTCAAATAAAGGGAAATGGTCAAATTTAAAAAAACAGTATGTCGAATCAAAGATGTATATAAATACTACTTCTCATGAAAAAATTGTATTGATCCATACATTTTTCAAATAGTTATAGCATAATAAAATTAAAAATGTAAAATACAAAATCGAAAATTATCACACAAAAATAGCATTCGGTAGTTATTTTCACCGTGAAGATAAAATAAAGTCCGAAATTTTTTTTTACCATAATAAAGTATATTACATTAACTTTAATTTAAGATATATATAAAAGTGTCAGACTTTCCGGAACACTTTCAAAATTTAAGTTGAAAAAGTAAATTTTTTGTGAAAAAGTTGTCATTTTAAATCTCCCCCGTGGGCAGGTAAAGGGTCAGATATGAAAAAAAGATATACCAAATGATAGGTAAAGACATCATGCATCATACATCTTTCAAAAAGTTATAGCATTATAAAATTAAAAATATAAAAAAGAATTTTTTTACAAAAATCGTATTTTTTTTATTAAGTTCGATGTCTGTTTTCACCATGAAGATAAAATAAAGTCCGAAATTTTTTTTTACCATAATAAAGTATATTACATTAACTTTAATTTAAGATATTTCGAAAATTAGCAATTTTTAAATTTGTAATTTTTTTAAAGATTTCCCCCATTTACGAGGAACGAGGGAAATTTTTTCAATTTTTGAGGGTAATGTCTTTGACTAGATACGATTTGTGATCTTTTGACGTATCGTTGAAAGAAATCGGTTCGGTGATAACTGAGAAAAAGTGGCAACAGACATAAAAAAAAAAAACACATCATAGTAAAATTAATACCTTCTCAGCTTCACACCGAAGCTAAAAACGGTTGGGTTAATGTGCCATAAATTATTTTTTTAAAAATTTATTGGATTAAATCTATTGCAGTTTTTTAACTTCGATGCAAATCTAAGAGGTGTAACTTTTACCATAATGTATTTATTTTATACTTATTATTTTTTTTTATGTTTGTCGGTCATTAATATTTCTCGTTGATACTTTAAAATATCATAAATAGTTTCTAGTTAAAGGTATTACCATCAAAAATTGAAAATTTTCTTCGTAAGTAGTGGAAATCCTAAATATTTTTTACACTATCATACTTTATTATTTAGCTGTTCAGATTTTGAGGATTAAATAGTGTTAATGAATTTACGTAACTCCAGTTGAATATTAAAATTCGGTAACATAGAGGAGTCGTGGCATAGGGGGGACAAGAATAGATGATATTTGACAGTCATTAAAATCATTATCATAAGAAACGGTTGGATGCAAATCTATAGATAGTGTTAATTTTAAGAATTTAATGGATTATTCTAAAAGCAAAATTAACTCCAATTTTTGTTCAACTGTCATTTGCACAAAGGTACAAATTTTTTTTTTTTTTGAACTTCTAGTATCTAAAATAAGCTATATTTCAACATATATTTAAAAGACGCAGATTTTCAAAAGTTAAATTGAAAAAGTTGAATTTTGTAAAAATGTTACTATTTTGAATCACTTTCTGTGGGCAAGTAAAGGGTCAGATTTTCAAAAAAATTATATCAAAAGGGAATTACTTAAGGTTTTCATATAAAAAAATATTTTGTTTTTTTCATTTTTCAATAAGTTATGACAATTTTTAGAAAAAAAAAGTGAACAAATTTACCGATTTTCAAAATTGTAATTTTTTGGGGGATTTTCATCATTTACAGGAAACTTAGGAAAAGTTTTTAACTTTTGAGGGTAATGTCTTTAACTAGATACGATTTGTGATCTTTTGACATATCGTTGAAAAAAATCAGTCCAGTGAGAACTGAAAATAGTAGCGACAGACACAAAAAAAAAAAAATTTTAAATTAATACCTTCTCAGTTTTATTTCGAAGCTATATGTATTTTAAGAGTAAAATTTATAAATTATTGGATTTTTTTATATAATCACTAAAATCCACCCAAAAATAGCTTAACCCACTTTTAAGCTTAGTAACAGCCAAGGGGACTGAGTTATAGTCATTAAATGTTTGCCCTGTGTAAAAAATAGTTCCGGCGCCTCTACTTTAGTCTATAGCATTAACTGTTTTTGATACGCAGATTGGGTTCGCTTATATATTAACATCAATGTTTCTAGGATTGCTTATTTTGGGCCCTTAACATATTTGTAGAATATACTAGAACATTCACTCGCGTATGTATTTCGTATTATCTATCTTTGTGCAGGTTTCGAATATTTTGCATGGGGTCATTACATAATTATAACTCCGCTTGTACCAATTAATTGTAATTCATAAAAATATTAAATATTAAAAATAGTAAATATTAAATTCTAAATTTTTTTCAAAGTAATTTATTAAGCGAATTTTTTTTTTTCATAAATTTATTCATAAAAGTGAATAAGTAATATTTTAAATACTTACGTCATTTTATTTGTGACAAATTATTTTATTTTTATTCGTCTATTATAATAAAATTTTGAAATATTTATTTAGATTATACCTTACAGATTATCGTAAGTTATAAATCATAACTTATGATTCGTAGCAAAATTATTACTTTTTCTTTAATAATGACAATTAGTTTGTTTAAACAATTCATTCAGATTTATCTTAACTTCAGCTTTTTAACAAAGAATGAATATATTTATAAATTATTAATTTGATAACATCACAAAATTCATTTTTCACAATAATTATGTTAAGCGACTAATTTCAATTTTCAGTTAATATTAATTTTATTCAGAAGAATTAGCGGTGCTCATTCAATAGATAATAATTTTTACTGGTAAAATTCTATGCCTAACACCAACATTTAGTGTAAAATTATTACATAAACTTTAATGAAATAGAAATTCAAATTATTAACCCTTATAATTAATATTCAAACCTGTTCAAAAATTTAATTTTTGGTAAATATAGATTGTGGTTATCCTAAAACCGTTAATCAGTGATTACCACAATTTGAATTATATAAACAAATTTCAGATATTTTTTTAATATTATACATATTAAAATTAAAATAATTAAAATGAATAGTAGCAAGTAGCTAAGTATTTTTGCTTCTAAAAAACTACAAAACATTTTATTATTTCTATTAAAAACGTTATTTCGAACAAAAGTAGTTTACTCTCAACACAATTACAAAAAAAAGTAGCCCAATACAGAAGCATCGCTACATGTAGTACACTATATCCAACCACTAATATAAACAAAACACTTATATAGGCTGTCATAGGACTTATAATTGATAATTGACATAAATTAAAAAATGACTCTTATAAATGTAGTGAGTTTTTTTTTTATAAAGATCATATACAATAAAAGACTATTTATAATTAAGTTATTTGAAAAACATGATTATATACATATTATATACATTGGTCAAATATATAATATTATTAATAAAATCAGTCGCTTTCATATTCTAGTTAAATTGCTTTATCAGTACAATTACTATTGACTGGTGTACTTGTTCGTCCGTTTAAAATATCTTGTATTTCTTGTAACGTTTTGCCTTCGGTATCTGGCAGTATAAACAATGAAAATATCAAAGCCATGATACAGAAAAAGGCAAAAAGAAAAAAAACAAAATCCATTCCCAGCAAATCTCTCATGCCAGGGAAATTATAAGTTAACACGAAACCAAGAAGCCAACAGAAACTGGCTGTGAGCGATGTTGCAACAGATTTTAAATTAGATGGAAACATTTCTCCCATAATTGCCCAAGGCAGTGGTCCAAAACCTAAAAAATTAAAAAATTTGAAAAGTGATTATAATAAATTAATCAAAATTTTTGTTTACAATTAATACCACTAAATAAAAAAAATCAACAAAAGTAGTATCTCTTATTTCTCATAATTAAACGTCGAACAATTGATTTGTAAGTCTTATATCCTTTGAAACAGTGGTGTAGCCAGAATTACATAATGGATTTCGTATCTTTTTTTTTTATCACTTTATTTTAGAAACGAATATTACTATTAATGAGGAGAGTGGCCCCTTGTCCCTCTGGCTATACCACTGAAAAGAAAGTTAAAAAAAAATTGTTTTATTAAAATTATAATAAATACCTTAAAATGGATAAAATCTATATCCAAATCGTTAACATATACTTGATAATATATTTATCAAAGTTAATAATCAATAAAGTGCATCATAGTGTCTTTATCATAAAAAAATTAATAGATAAATTACATATAATTTTTAATTTTCTACAAAAATGCAACAACGTACATTGTAGAGTTAAAAATAATATTATTTGATAATATTATTGAAGAACTTGAACAATATCCCTCTGATTGATAAGAAGTATAAATAATTATTTTTTTTAAATAAACATATTGGTTTACAACATTTTTCAAATGAAAAACACTTGCAGGTATGACACAACAACTACTTTTCAGATAATTTTCATACTATTAATGTCGTTTATATACATATAATTTATGATATATTTTATATTAAGGGTTGGCACAATGAGAACACTATTTCTGGTGGCGTGTTAGGCATAAACGAATTTTTATCAACACACCATAATATAAAAAGTTTAAAATAATATAAAAATTAGGCCTTCTAGATAATAATTCATGTAAAAACGGATTTTTTTTATAACAATGAATACCGTATATAAACAATAAACTAAGAAATGAAAAACATTGATCTTATATTTTTGTAATAAATATTTTCATTGATATTCAAAGGGTTTTATAAGGCATTGTTACAAAACTCTGCGGAATCGCTATAAATATTAAATGACATAAATAACATAAAATAGAATTAATAACTAAGATTTTCGTTTAAGAATTATGTATATCAAATATTTGTTGGATAACTGAAAACTTACCAAGGCAATATGTTATGATGAAGATTACTAAACTAGTTATAGGTAACCATTGAAAATGAGAAACATTCATTTTACTCTTCACAGCTAAAAAATAAAATCCTAGAGTAGCCTATAATTAATAAAATAAAATTAGTAATATAAGTAACAAACACACAAACAAAAAGTATAACGCACAAAACGTAAGATTTCCTTTATATAATATTAATAATTCAGGTATCAGATTTTCAAAAAAATCGCAAATAATCTAAAAATTTAACACTTTGGACTTTATTTAGTTGAACACTTTCAAAAGTTTACCCCCAAATTAATCATTGTTACGAGAAATGTACAAAAATCAAAACAATTTTGCAATAAATCAAACTCATTTTTTTCTAAATAAATCTATTTGAAAATCAAACTAAAATAATCAAATATCGCTCTGAATTTCTTGAAGAATAATACAAAAATTATTTGCCTAGAAAATTATCTGTTCGATTAGGAGTTGATAAAAATCTTAAAAGTTCTGTTCGAACTCAAAAGTAACTAATGATTACTTTACTAAAAACAACAATGTCTAACTGTATGAAAAAAATTTAATTTATTTTTAATTAAAAAAAATTTACTTCTGAACAAAACATTCCAATGGCTGAAATGTATAATAACATCTTTATAGAGCTAAATTTAGCAAGAGAAGGAGTTATACTAGCTGCACCCAGCATTACAGATCCAATAATTATTGTGCACATGCTTGAAGAAATAGTAGCACTGGCTGCTTTAAAAATAGATTCACTATAGAGCAAAATGACATTGATACCACAAAGTTGTTGAAAAGCCACCATTGATAAAGAAATGATAACAGCCTTGATACTACCTTTGTTAGCAAACAGCTCACTAAACCCTGAATTTTTATTCTTAGATTCTTCAACAGATTTCTAAAATAAATTAAAAAATAGATAATATTTTAAAGTTATCCAACTAAGCAACCATACCTTAATTTCATTTAATTCTTTAACTACAAACGTTTCTAGAGGATTTCCACGCAACCATCTCAATGATTTTAGTGCTTGGTCTTCTTTAGACTTACCCAACAATGCATAAGGTGATTCAGGCATCCACATGAATGTAGCAAAACATAATATTGGTGTTGCCAAAGATACAAGTGCCAAGGTAAGATAAGACGTGTACGGTCCCACGATGTATTCTAATAAAAATCCAACACATAAGAAGAATTGCATCACCGTACCCAAAGAACTTCTCAAATCAGGCTGATATCAAAACCACATTTTTTGAAACATTTATATAATTTATAACTTAACAGTTGTAATCATTACTTTTGCGATTTCGGCGATGTAAGTTGGAACGGCAGTGAAAATTAAACCAACACTGATACCTGATAACACCCTGGCCACATACAATACGTATAAGTTAGGAATAAAACTAATCATTGTCCATGACACAATAGATAGAATCATGCTAAATAGAACAGTATTTTTTCGTCCTAGTCGATCCAATAAAAAACCGGAAAGTATAGGTCCGACAGCGGCTCCTAATGTTACCAGGGAACCAATCCAAGTAGCTTCCTCTTGAGTGATTTTTAAAGAAATACTTGAATCACTTCCGTTTTTAAATTTTTCCAAAATAGGTGATGACCATGTTAGAGCACAGCCTGCTGCAATGGCTCCAAAGTTAGCTGTAATAAAAGTATAAATATTACTAGTTGAGTAATTCAAGTTAAATACATTATCATATGGATGTTTTTAAGACTGTCTTAGCAGGAAAAAGAAATCTATAAGTCATTAAAGTACATAGTATAGAGATCTAAAAAATTCGGTGGTGTATACTGATTTTAATTGTTTATACTAAGAGCAAGAAACGAAATTTCAAAAATTACTATACGGTCAGAGAATATTCGAGATATCCTAGGAAAGCCAATCAAGACCCATTACATAAATATGCAATTAAACGGTGTTTGGTATAAGTTAAGGTGGTTGTTCATGAGTACCAAAGTAGCGAAATAATAGAAAAATAAAAATTTTAATTTTCATTAATTATTAATTACTTATATTACAATATTAAAAACGATTATGGACGCTGAAATTTTTACGATTTTTAATTTTGTTGTTAACAGAAACAATGTAAAATTTCGATTGGAATGCATTATAGTTTATTATATTCTAAATATGAAAATAACTTTTACTTTACTTAAAAATCACAAAAAAACATTTTACGAAAATAGAAAGAGTGACTATCACATTAAGACGATGATATTATGATTGTTCGTATGAAATATGACCTCCGCTGAATCTTTTCACGTTGCTAATTGTTACTTACTTATTGTCAAGTACTAAACAAAGTGTACGTAATATGAATAAAAATTATTCTATTAAAACTAAAAACGATAGTTAAGTAATAAAAGCAGTACAATAACTACGTGGTGAATGAATTTTATTTTTCTTCTTTAAATTAATTTATTAATTTATATTAATCTATTACGTGAGTATTGAATACTATACTCAATCGAATTCCAAATACAATAATGATGTACGTGTAATAGTAAATTAATTAATTATATATCATTTTTTGAACGTAAAAGGCGAAAAAATATATCTTAAAAATAATTTATATACTTTTAAGTTGAAACATTATGGACTCAAAATAAATAAATTATATTATCTAAAATATAATGTTATAAAAATTATCTAAAAAATACATATTCACTGTACATGTTTTACAAAAAGCTAATTGCTTTAAAAAAATAATAAAAATTGCGTTAAAAATAGTTCTAAATACCCTTGATTTACATCTCAGCCATATTTAAGATTACACATATTTAACACTTACATATATTTTTAAGCAAATTAATAGATTTCTAAATTAAGTGAAACGTTTTTAATTCAATAATTTTAAAGCCATTTTTTTTTTTTATATATAATAATTTATATATGTTTAATATCCATTAAAATGCTCTTATTAAAATTACATTAGTAAAAAAATAGTTTTTTTAGTCCTAATTTAGTCATTAAAAATTTCACTGCATAGTTACATTTTCTCTACATATAAACATAAACTTTTCTAAGACTCATTACTGATTCATTACCATAGTTTTTGAGATGTTTACTAATTATTAAAAAAATATCTAAAAAAACTATTATTTCAAATTAATGTAAAATTAATTAATTTACATAATATTTTATTTTTTAACTCTTTATTCAAAATTTGTTCATAATTTTGTTTAGTTTTCAATTAATAACTATTATTAAAAAATAAAAAATAAAGACATCATGGTAAAATTAGTACATTCTCAGCTTCGCAACGAAGCTAAAAAAAAGAGTTCTCAATAACTTAAGACTAGAAAATAGGAACTGAATCTTAGTATCAGGGTTGTCAAAAATCAGGTATTTTTATAACCCAAAACATTACGGTTTTTTTTTTCAAAAAACCACAAAAATCTACCGGGTTTGTAAAAAAATAATTATTATTTATACTGCTATCACAAAGAAATAATAATAAACATATCATGATAACACCAATTATTAATATTGATTACAATAAAAGGAAAAAGTACTACTATAATATTTTAATTTTGTATTTTAGCAAATGATATAACTATTGTAATTAATGGCCTTAGCTGTTGAAATTATTAATAAGATCGATAAAAATAGTATATTTTTTTATTTTAAATAAAAGCAATTTTGTTTACAACAGTTTTTTTATATCTAAAGTGAACTTACAAAAAACAGCCAGAGTGTTTTTTAAAAAAAATTCTGGATTAAGCCTAAAGAAATTTACTAGGTTTTTTGAAGTGAGTTTTTTTGTTTGCCAATCCTACTTAGTATACTATGATATTAATCTCTACTTTTTTCTTTAGTGAATACCCTTAAAAATATTTGATTATTTTGCAATATTCAGTAGTAAAAACTAACCTGCATATGAAGCAATAAACAAATTGACAGCAGAGCCTCGTGTGCTCTCACTAAACGGTTGCACATTAGAAGTAGAGGTGACTGTGGTCTGAGTTTTTTCTCCGTTGGCCATTGTGAAACGATTGCCGTTTTTCGTATTACTTGCTGGTGTTAAGTTATTTTCTCCATCAGATCCTGGCACTGCCCCTTCTTCCATAAGAGTCTCTAACTCCATTGGCCCGTTGAACTGTGGCCTTACAAAATTTGAAATTTTTCTTCTAGGTGGACCTGCAGTGGCCAAATTATATTGATGCTGTCTCGCTTGTGGCTTAGTTGGTTTCCTATATCAATTAATCATATTTAAATATGAACCAAACTTAGACTTATAAAATATAATAAATTGTATTATATAATAAATTTAAGACGGTTGGAAATACACAAAACGCTGATAGTGTAGTAATGAACAAAACCACTAATTTAATAAGCACACACAAAAAATAACATACTGTTCGTTAATTTACAATTATTAATGGGGTCCAAACCAAACGTTCTTAAAAGACCAAATACAAAGTTAACTTATAATTTTTGAATTTTCCATTCTGTAATTTGAATTTTGTTTGAGAGAATGTAAAAGGCTAAAACATTGAAAAAAAAAGATAAATACTAAAACTTAATTAATTATGTTATTAACTTTAAAAATATGCTTATGCCCTATGTAATTGAATATTTTTATAAATAAATTGATCATTTGTTAAAATTACATTAAGTACAAAGCCCTAAGATATCTAACCTAAATTTTCGATAAAATAATTTATTGTTCATAAATATTTAATAAAAACAATTAAAAAAATGTTCTAATTATATATTTTCTAAGAAATGATTACAATATAAATTGTTTTTATTTCATTTAAATTATTTTCATAACATTTTTCAAAAAATATTCACTTAATAATTTTATTTTACTATCAAATATGACTTTTTCATTCAAAAATTACTGTTTAAGGTAAATTTATATAAAATGTGTTTTTAAAATAAATGATGTTATATTGGCTTTACAGTTTTTATTTAATACATTATAAATTAAGTACTAAGCAAATATATAAAAGCATTATTAGTATTTGACACAAAATTTTTATATTTCCTTTTATATTTCTATAAAAGTATCTCACGTAAAAAAGCTTTTTATCATCATTTTTTAAGTTCACTTTCTGATTTTCATATTCATATCTTCAATTCTAATTGAAAGTTTAAGTTGTTAAAATGATATAATAAACTATTATAATTTAATTACCTAAGTTTTTAATTAATTTGAAAAAAATTTTCTATCACAGTATCACAACTTTTAATATTAATTTTTAGATAAAATACTCATTATCTATAAAAGTATCTTAGTTTGTGAATTAAATAAAATGAATAAAGTATTTTATATTGGATTTTTTATACTATCAACAAACGTAATCACGTAAACACTAAAAATTAAATTTTTGATATACCTAAAATATTATCTAAAAATAATTTGAATAATATAGTAGAACAAATAAATCTAAAACAAACCAATAAAATTACAAAATAATACCCATCGAATCATTTAAAATTAGTTTGATTTTTTACTTCTACTCCCTTTCCTTTATCTCAACTAATTGAGTCGACCATCCATATTTAAAAACTCCACTTAGACGCGATTACCTACATCAACTATTCACAATCATAAAATTATATTACAAAATTTTTATACCGATTGTCGACCTGACTCAATCTTGTTTGTTGCACTTAAACTTACAGAGAGGCTGTGACAGTATTTTGATCCCCTTTCACAGGGAAAACAATTTGTATCATCAAAATAATATATATATTAAAGAAATAATTTCAATATACTTTTTTTTTAATAATATTTTGTAGGAAAACTTGAAATCAATAGACTATTGCATTCTAAAGGATCAACTATAAATTTTATTTTTGAAACAATTTAGAAGTTAAATATTTAGATAACCACATGATTAAATAATTCTTTACTAGCAATACTTGAGATTTGTGAAAAAAAATCAATCCTCATTATAATGAAGATACAAATGAATATGCTACAATTATGCTAGATTGACTATTATGGAATTCTTCATGACATTGAATATTTGTTTTAATTTGCACATGAACCATCTATTTAAGAGTTTTTTAATTGATAAGTTGATAATATCCACTTGTCTATGATAACCTTTCGTGACGATAATAACAATTTTCTTTAGAGGCGGTATTTTTGCTTATTAATGTCACACATGACGTATATTGGTGTGCAAAATAAATTGACAATGACAGCTGAATAGAGAAATTGATCAATAATGTATGAGCTGGAAGCCATTAAATATATTGTTTTGGTAATGTCCGGACTCTTAAAATGCGAAAAAATACGTGTCATTAAAAAAACAATAAACTCAAGAGTGGTATTTGCTTAAATTAAGATTGAAAATTTATCAATGTTAATATGTATACCATTATATACAAATTTCTTTAGTTAAATTAGTGCATATTCATAGCTACAATATTATTTGAATAAATATCATTGTAAATAGTAGTTAAATAAAATCGAAAGCTGAAAGCTTGAATCGGGTAATTAAACGCGCAATTAAAGCTGGTATGTGACACGATATAAAAAGTAAACAACTGAATGATAATCAAACATAAAAAAATTATAATTATACGCTTATGTTTCAGTTAATAGTACATCACACCATTTTTCAATATGAGATGTGTTCATCATGTATAAGTTTTTACATCTAAATAATTTATTACTAAAAAAATATAAATATTAACGTGCTAATATTTGCAGTATAAATTTTGAACTCATATATAACTTCTAACAATGAGCACATGCCTAATTTTTCCTTTGTGTGTAACTAAACATGAATAGCAAACCTATAAAAACGCAGAGAAAAATAAAGTGATATGAATGTATGATATTTTATGATTACTCTTTATCAATGAATTTTGTTCATTTAACTTTATCCAATTAAAAGTGGTAAGTTACAATAAGTACGGCAAAACACGTCAATATGGAGATGACTTTGCATTTAATCATTATAATTATATCAAAATAACAGATACCTACACCACAAACTAAAATCAGTATTTTATCAATTTAAAAACTTAATTTAATTAATTATCAAAACTGAGAGAAAATTGATAATATTTTTGGATAAAAAGAAAAATACGTCATTGATTATCATATTGGAAATATTAAACACCATATTCTTTTATTTAAAATAAAGTAATTTTTTTTTTGTCGATCATGTAAAATTTAGCTTTAGCATCCTTGACAATTAAATACATTTTATTATTACTATTTACAATATAACGTTTATAAAAAAATCTTTAAACGAACAATCACTGTTGATTAAAAATTTGATACATTTTTAATTCCTATAAAATTCAACTAATAAACAATAAGAAATATCTTCTTTTTTTTTTAATTTAAAATTTTTAAGCTTGTTAAAAGAGAAAAGAAAAATAGCTGATCATATATTGCATGAAAAAGACGACAATTGATAATTGTAATATTTTCAATGTAAATTTATATCAACTAAGAGTTCTAAAATTATTCTTTGATTAAGGATGAACATTAAATTGCCTTTAATAAATTTCTATTCTTTAAAAGTATTATTTGAAAACAAATACACTAATATTTTTATATAAAGTTTCGAAGATAAATTTCAATTAAAAGTAATAAAAAAGATTAATAATAAACAATTAAATAATTATAAAACCTAATATTTAATATTATAAAAACTATTATGCATATTTGATTTGGAGATCAAAATCTGTCATACATTTTAAAATTATTTCAAACGCCTACAATCTAAAGGTAAACTGATAACACGACATTACTATTATGAATTATATCGCTAAAAATAGATTTACTCTATACTGATACTATAAAAGAATTGTTAAGGTTAACGACCGACTAAAATATAATTGTTTTAAGACGTATAAAAAATTTTTTTAAATTACCTATATAAAACCAGTATCCCTTATTGGCGTTTTTCCTTTGTATCCACACTTACTCCTGCTGCAACACCACACAGCAGAAATGTTCTAACCTCTAAATTTACAATGTCGACAACGAAGAGTCTTAAACCATAAAAATATTAGAACTTACCTATCTATTAATTAACTTATATTAATACAGTGATGTTATCAATCAAACCCACCAGTTCCACGCCTTCCTTCACTTATCAGTTGAAAAATAAACGAAATAATTGCATAACTATATTAAAACAAATCACATTCGCAATAATTAATTTATACAAATACATTTAGGTTTTTTTATAACTATTATTAAAAAGAAATCGGAGTAGGGATAAACGAATCATCTAGAGAGGAATACTTTATAAGATAATATCCTATTCAGGTGTTAACATTCGTATCTTATCTAAGAATAAATTAGGCCTAAACAGGTATTCCATTGCTGATAGAATATTAAAAATTAATGATGTATCATCATAAATAATAATTATTTCTTTGAAGATAATTCAAAATATGTAACCATAATTTAGGTACAATTAAGTCATACTTACATTATCAATTAGAGCCAAATAGATTAAATGTCAACAATAGATAATTTAAAATCAATTTCACGATTATAACCTTTAGGTCTGATGGCTTAATTTACGGTTGGTAGGTAGGATAAAATATTAAAATAGTTTCACATTAAATTATTTGATATAGACTTTAATAAAAATTATTATTTAAATTTAAATGGTAAAATATATTTCTTTATTAAATATTATAAGAAATAAACATTCAATATATAAGAAAAAGTTAAACAATTACCGATTTTTCTTGAAACATCATCAAACATGTGACTCTTATAAAAACAATTAACTGTAATAGTATCTACAAATAAAATATTTTAGCGGTTCCATTATCTCAATAAACTAAATTAGTTAAAGATTGGCTTAACATATGGTATAATATGCATAATGCCGTTCTAAGTTATAATGATTATGTTGTTTGTATAAGCTTTTGTTTAAATTACAATAATTAGGATAATTAATGAATATTTATTAATACATATTATTTAATTTATGGACGCATATTATGCGTTTGTAACTAGTCAATACTACTTAAAATATTGACACGTGCATACAAATTAATGTTGTTAAATATTATTATATTATTTACAGTTTCAGGTTAACGCTACTGCTAATGGCCTATTAATATTTCATTACTAGATTAATTAAATTTTTTAACATGACTATTTAATTGCAATGTATATTATTAAAAATATAGTAAGAAAATTTGAGAAATTTCACACACATGACAAACCTTTCTGATTTTAAAATAAAATTAGTATTTCATGACAATTACTTAGTTAAGCTGAACACCCTTGTATTATATATATAAATAATAACACATGAAAAATTCCATTACGCATATGTTAAGTACAAATATCAACTAAAAATATACAAAACCCACAATGTTTATTCAAGCATTAAAAAAAACATTTAATGCTTAAATTTTGATTATGCTTATTTAATAAAATATTGATTATTCATTAAGTTCAATAAATTTTTATACACCTTAAAATTGATGAAATTTTATAAAAGAAACAAATTTACTTTTTTTTATATTTTAGACATGTGATTATGTTATCAAAGTAAAATTAATAAATGTAAAAGTGTAGTAACTTAATGATTATCAAAATCGAAATAAATGAATTTCATAACAATTGAAGGGTCGGCGGGAATAACGTGCTATGAAGAAATCTAATTATATTTATGGAATCATTTTGGATAAGTTGAAAGATCGTGCTATGTGCAGTCCAAATAATATTTAAAAGAAATTATAATACCTTTTTTGTTTTTACATAATACTATAGAATATACGAGTTAATCCGTAGCACATTATTTCCACCGATCTTTCAATTTATAGTGTAATTATTTTTAAATTATTCTAATATGTACTTTATAATACACTTTTGATAAGTAAATAAGTTTTCTTTTTTCGGTTTGTGAAATATACAATCTTATATTTCTTTGATGTCTTTTAAAATATGAACTAATTAATTAATGAAACATAATTCCCGAATTATCTTAGTTTGTCAAAATTTTTTTAGTTAAAATTTATATCTTATAATTTTCTGAGAAGAAGATATGTGTCAAGAGTTAAACATTTTATAATTCAAATCACATTTATCGAAATCATCGTTGTACAACTCAATAAATATACTAAAAAGAGCATATATAATTTTATTTGTATACTAAAATCATTTCAATAACAGTTAACACAAACTATACTAATTTGTACGTCAATAAGGTGTTTTTAGTTTTTCTTTGTATTAAATAAAGAGCCACATAGTCTAAGTCTTGGTTTTTTTTTTTTTTTTAATCGCCTTTTTAAAAATGTTTAAAATAAGTAAAACAACTGCGCTTAGATGTAAAAAAATTAGCGATTATATCAAAATATTGTTGCTTTTTCTTTACAACAACACAAAACAATTTATAATTTGTAAAAAATAATTATACTATTAATTATATTTTTATTAATATTTATTACATTAATGATAATTTATTTTATTTTTAAATTTTATTTGTCAATGTAATATTCAAATAAGTAGATTTTTCTATTAAAAAAATAAAAATAAAAATAGTAAAACAAGAACAAAACAAATATTGAATATAAAATAGTTCAAAGCTAAACTAACCTCTATTTTTGATATGTCCATCCAAATTTAACGATTTGGGAAAAAGTTTTAATTTTTATATTAAAAATATTTTTAAACATATATTAACATTTAATATAATCTTATTTAATAACGAAAATAAAGCTAATATACTCAATAGAATTACTTATTTTATGATGTATGAGTACAAATGATCAAAGCTCATACATATTTTAAATAAATATTACAGTTCAATGGCATTTGTAATATATAGTAATAGTAATAAAAAGAAATTTTATAGTTAAACAAATTTTTAAGCAATATAAATATTTGACTTGAAATTTATGACATATATATCTATACTAGTTAAAAAATGTATAAATAGAAAATACCAGAGTAAAAAATTTGAAACAAGTATTAAACAAACAGTACAATAAATTATCTCATTAAAAAACAATTATAATCATATAATTTTAAACCAGAATCAATGAGACTCTTAATTGATATTAAACGACCAAAAGTGACAAAGCTATTTATTTTTTAACAGGATAAGCTTATAGGTTTTCAAAATTAAAGTAACAACATCAAATTATTTATATACATTAGATTGAAATTAGGAAATAATTTATACAAGTGGACTGGTTTAATGTAGAATTTAAAAAAATTGATAAAAGTTTTTTTTTTTTAAGTTATAATTTTCAACTTATTTTAATTTTTGACACTGAAAAGAAATATCATTTATTTATGAAAAAATTCTATTAATTAAATCATTTACAAATATACAAAAATTAAATTCCAATTTCCGTCAAATTTTTAGCTTCGATGCGAAGCTGAGAAGGTGGTATTAATTTTACAATGATGTGTTCATTTATTTATTTTTTTTATATCTGTGAACGCTCAATCTCAGCTCTCGCTGGACCGATTTTGATGAACAATACGTCAAAAGATCACAAATCGTATCTAGTCGAAGACATTGAAAAAATTTCTCTCGTTCCCCGTAAATGGGGAAAATCCCCCAAAAAATTACAAATTTAATAAATCGCTTATTTTCGACATTATTTAAATTTTTTTTAATTAAATCTGCCATAACTTTTTTTAAAATGACCAAATCACATTAATTTTTTTTTATAGATACTTTAGGTATTTACTTATTTTTTGATATATTTTTTTGTGAACATTTTACTCTTTACCAGTTCACAGGAAGAGTTTCAAAATGGTAACTTTTTTACAAAAAATTAACTTTTGAAAATGTTCCGGAAAGACTGACACTTTTATATATACCTTTAATTAAAGTTTATGTAATATACTTAAATTTGAAAAAAAATAATTTGACCTCTGAACTTGTATTCATGGTGAAAATGACTACCGTCAAAAATATTCTATTTTTGTGTTAAAATTCTGGGTTTTGTATTTTATTTTAATTTAATATATCTGACAAGGGGAGTACACTGATTTTCATAAATATTATATAAATCAAATTGATATAGCATAGAAAGTTAAACTTATTTAAATTTTTTTGGTTTTTTTAAGTCGAAAAAATAGCTTTGAAATTTGAATTAGTTTAAATTGCCTATTTTTTCAATTGACGGAAGCGACGCACGGTTGTCAAGTCGGTAAAACTTATGTTTAACGCGCTTGGGGTTCTAACCTACGTATGGCAAGAAATTGTTTGCATTTTATTCTTAATTATTTTTAAATTAGAATAAATTTTCAACTCATTTAATTTTTATCTCATTTAGATTCAATAACTTTAATAAAGAACAAGGATCCCATCACTGTAGTCACCCCTCGCGAGAATAAATTGCTTATTCATATTAAAATTATTTTACTATATTTTAGGTTTTATCTTTAGGATAACTAATCGGGATAAAATTAAGAGAAATAGAGTTATTGTTGCTTTTGAAATAATCTATCAATTTTTAAAAATTAAACACTAGCTACAGATTTGGATCGAAGCGTTTCTTATGATTGTGATTTTAATCACTGTCAAATATCATCTATACTCAACTATGCCACTTCCATACTGTGCCGCAACACCACTGTACTGGGTTTTTTTATACTACCTTTATAACATTTAAATAACGTGAGTAAAACATTTTTTATCGTTTATAATTACAATGAATGATAAAATTTATTTTACACAGTTCAATTTGTAAACATTTTACAACTTAAATTAATTATTTAGTATCAAAGAATTCAAAGTTAATAAAACTATGTTTTATGAAAAAATGTCATAGAAACACGTAATTGTTTGTTAGAAATAAAATAATAAAAAACACGTCATGACTTACAAAATTTTGCTTTTGTTTAATTTTAAATATGTATTCGAAATAAATTAAATAATTAATTTACAAAAAAAATCAGTTCATTATTCTGTTCTATATGCTCTTATTTAATTAATAAAAGATAGAAAAAAAAAAAAAAATACTAACATGTAAATTGACAAAAAAAATATTGGTATGAGTTTTATTTTGCTGTGTTTAAAATATCAAAAAATCTTGACTCAAACAATTCTGCTACAGCGATACTACATGATAATTCTACAGAGTGACTCAGCCGTCACTGATAACTTAAATAAATATTGATCCAGTTAAAATTTTTTGCTAATTTTTTTTTTTTTTAATATTTTATACACTTAATATGTTTTAATAATAATATAATAAATATTATTTTTATTTATTTTAAAATTTAAAATAACCATTTTTTAGAATAAATTTTAAGAAATAATTTGGTGAAAAAATTTCTCATTAATGTTATTTAGTTAATTTTCTATAACATTTTTAAATTTTGTAAAAACCCGAATTTTTCTGTATTTATTCTACGGTATCAAACGCTGGCTATGTTTAATAAAAAAGGACAGAAATAAAGACAATCTTTTCACACTAAATATCATATGTGTATGGATTTTTCCATGAAAATTGTTAAAGTTCTAAAGGCCGGCTTTAATTCAAATAAAAACACAAACAATACCTATTACTTAATGAGTAGTTTTGTTTCTTTAAAAATAAAACTACTTATTCTAACTAAAATTAGAATTTATTTATGACCAGTCATGATTTATATTTTACTAAGTATAAGGTCTATTATATTTACCAACTTGGCATTAATACGATGATAAGAAATTTGATAAGACAATTATTACTAATAACTAGGGTGCGGATTAGTATGTATTTACATATTAGTCACAAATAATAAAAATTGAATGATTTCTTTATAAAAATATGTTACAGGACTATCTGATTATTTTAAGCTATGGTTGATGTTACATATTTTTACATATTTAAACTTACTTACATATTATTACATAATTTACTTAAATTACATATTTTTGTTAAATATTCAGCTACTTAATAAATTAGCAATTTATCGCCGTTTTATATTTTGTGTTGTTATCTTCTCTAGTCAAGCCCGCTAATAATCGTCGTAAGTATCAACTTCTCAGCGCTTTCAAGTTACACAACACATAGGAACCGCAATTCATAAAAAAAATAAACTCGGAAAGACAAAAAAAAAACAACAATTCATCACCTCATGCACTTCATGCACTTCATCGTCCAGTAAATCAACTTTCAACAATGACTTATGCACAGCTTTAATTAAAGCAGATATACCTTTGCAAAAACTCAATCTTGATTTTCGTCAATTTCTCAAAAAAAAAAAATAAATAAGCAATAAAATACCTGATGCAAGCACTCTAAGGAAGAATTATTTACCTGACTTATACGAGAAAACTTTGAATGATATAAGAAAAAATATTTCAAATGGACCTATCTGGGTTTCCATGGACGAAACCACCGATGTAGAAGGAAGGTACATAGGAAATATAATTGTTGGTAAGTTAAATTCATATTGTGCTTCAAAGACATATTTATTAAATACTGAAGTTCTTAAAAAATGTAACCACTCAACAATTGCTCGTTTTGTCAACGATTCTTTGTGTATCCTATGGCCGAATGGTATTTTGCATGGTATAGGGTGCTGCGATATGGTGAAAGATGGAACAGCTTTAAATGTATTTTATCCTAAATTAATTCACGTGACCTGCCTTGCACACGCTTTCCATCGTGTCGCAGAAATAATAAGATCAGAATTTCCCGAAGTTGATTTTTTGATATCAACTATTAAAAAAATTTTCCTGAAAGCACCCAGTCGTGTACATATATTTAAAGAAAATTATCCTCAAACACCTTTTCCTCCAGAGCCGGTGATAACTCGCTGGGGTACTTGGTTACAAGCTGCTGCATATTACTGCGACAATTTTAGTGTCATTGAAGATGTGATTTCAAAACTCGAAATAGATGCCGTTTCAGTAAAAAATGCAAAAAAGTTAATTAAAAGTACCTCATTAAAAAATAATTTAGTATACATATCCTCCAATACTACATTCCTTGCCAATTCTATTACGAAACTTGAAACTCAAAACTTGTCCCTGGCTGATAACCTGGGCATTGTCTCCGACACCGTCAAAAAATTAAAAGAATCCCCTGGGCAGGTTGGAATAAAAATTAAGAATAAAGTTGAGCAAGTACTTAGTAAGAACTCTGGTTTAAAGACAGTTGAAACTATTGCAAACATTCTCAATGGCAGTGATACGCAAACTTCTTTTGAATTTAGTCTTGCTGATTTAGGGGCTTTTAAATTTTCTCCTATTTCTTCCGTCAACGTGGAAAGATCTTTTAGCAGCCACAAAATCATACATCGTTCTAATCGACGTCAATTTACCTTAACAACCTAAAGAAGTAAATGATTGTCTATTGCTTTGTTGACGACGAAGATCCTAGCTAATATTTGATTGGAATGTATTTTTTAGGTACATATTATTATATTTTGTATTCTGAATGTATTTTTTTAAGAATAAAAACATTTTTTTTAAATATTATGTATTTTTAGTTGCATATTTGGATAAAAATAAATACATATATATGTACATATTTTTTAAATTTTAATACATATTAATCCGCACACTACTAATAGCTCTTATTCAATAGGGTAAGAAATTTTCATGGAAAAAGTTACGCACACTAAATTATAGTAATCATGAAAAGATAGCGTTTTCTTCTGTCCTTTTATCAACACGTATTTCAATGTTTAATACCGTATAATAATAATAAAAATTCAAATTTTGACAAACTTTAAAATGCTAAAAAATATTTACTACTGAATAATAATTAAATATTTTTTTATCAACATTTTTCTTCAAATCTACTCTACAAAATAGCTATCTTTGATTTTTGCATTTTATTTTAAATTTTAAAATAATTAATATTTTAATAAAATGTAAAAAAATGAATTATTGAGATATATTTATATACCTAACATGTATTATTAAAAAAAAAAAAATCAGCTAAAAAATTTAACTAGATCAAAAGTTATTTAAGTTGTCAGTGAGTGCTGGGCTATTTTGTATATTTCAAACTCTACAAGAAATTTTTTACTTTGTCTTTGTTTCATTTTTGAGTGCTTTTTATTTTTCAGTAAATCATTATTTATTTACAACAGTCACATTCACTAAACATATATAATTATAAAGTTTCAATATATGATAAAAAAAAAAATAGTTAATTTTATTTAAAAAAAATTTTGAAGAAATTAAAATGTCTATATTATAAACATAATATGATTTCACAACAAGTGACTGAGTACGAGGTGGTCTCTTTAAGATCGTATTCCACAGTGCATTCATCCCCCTAAATCTAGGCCTGATTATAGTGCATCTCTAGACCGATATTTCCCCTCTTATAAGCTATTTTACATATTGAATATTAAAAAAGTTTTACAGCTATTTAATATTCAGTTTAGAAGTATCATTTCTGAATAATTATGAAATGTCAGTATGTCCACTGACGCCTCTATTTAATTAAAATAAATATACTTTAACTTATCAAGAATAATAACTAAGAATGACTGAATATTGAATAAAATAATTCCAACATGAATTTTTTTTGTAAATACGTGTCATAGACTTTAATTCACTGCAATGATTTTTTTCTTTTTGTCGGCATTTTTTTTAAATACAGTTTTCAATAATTCAATCGAATGTTTACCTTGTTTATATTCTATTATGGATTTGAACGAATAAATACATTATTATTTGTATTTAATTTTATATAAATGTAATTATTATTTTTTTATTAATCAATGTAGAGTTTACATAATGTAACAAGAGTTAGTTCCAAAGAGTAATGTTGTTTTAGGAAGTATACCATACCCAAATATACCAACTAACATTTTTTTATTAAACGTATACGCTAGAAAAATAATACTTATATTGAATGTTTACGGTCGCAAATCAGAGCATAAACTAAAATAATATAACCCAGCACAGTGGGGTCGTGGCACAGTGGGAAGTGGCATAGTTGGGTCAAGTATAATGATATCTGACAGTGATTAAAATCACTACCATAAAAAACACTTCGATGCAAATCTGTAGATAGTGTTTAATTTTAAAAAATTTATGGATTATTCCAAAAGCTACATGATCTCCTATTTCCTTATTTATATCCTGATTACAAGTTTTATGATTTATAAGTGTAATATATATAAATCTATATATATTTATTATATACAAATATATAAAGGGAAATGGTGTTATTTAAAAAAAAAAGTATATCGAATGAAAGAGGAATACAAATATTATTTCTCATAAAAAATTGTATTGATCCATACACTTTTCAATAAGTTATAGCATAATAAAGTTAAAAATGTAAAATATAAAATCGAGAATTTTCACACAATAATAAAGTATTTTTCATAATAAAGTATATAACATAAACTTTAATTTAAGGTATATATAAAAGTGTCAGTATTTCCGGGACACTTTAAAAAGTTAAGTTAAAAATGTTAATTTTTTATGAAAGAGTTGTCATTTTTAATCTCCCCCTGTGGGTAGGTAATAGGTCAAATTTATAAAAATAATATATCAAATGATAAGTAAAGACATTATGCATCTAAAAAAAAAACTATATTGATATAATCATTATTGAAAAAGTTATGGCAGTTTTAAGTAAAAAAATTGAAAAAATTTCGAAAATTAGCAATTTTTAAATTTGTAATTTTTTTAAAGATTTTCCCCATTTACGAGGAACGAGGGAATTTTTTTCAATTTTTGAGGATAATGTCTTTGACTAGATACGATTTGTGATCTTTTGACGTATTGTTGAAAGAAATCGGTTCGGTGATAACTGAGAAAAAGTGGTAACAGACACAAAAAAAATATAAAAAAAACATATCATAGTAAAATTAATACCTTCTCAGTTTCGCATCGAAGCTAATAAAGAATTTGTTCAAAAATACCATAGCTAAAGGGTGTTTAAAAAGTAATTACAAGAAAGCTTGCTAATTTAATAGTAAAAAAAATTAATTATTGTAATCATAAAACTAAAAATCTACATACATAACAATTCATATTATTTAATAATAGAGGTCGGTAATATTACAAAATGTCTTATTTTTTTCACTAATCCCGCCGAATTTCCAAAAATTAATTGTGCCTTCAAATAGTCAATTTGTATATATCAATTATTTTAACTATAATTAGTAATTATTTAAATTTTGAAAAAAATATTTTCATTAAATTACTATCACGCACAAAAAAACTGTTTTTTCTTCTGTAAAAAATATATGGTCGCATAATACAAATATATCAAATCATTTGATTTAAACAAATTATTTAGCAAAGATAGGAGCTAACTAGATTAACAAACACACTCAATCACAACAAAACTTTAGTAAAAATCATGAAAAATAATAAAAATTATAATCTTTTATAAAAGCTGATTTTTTTATGTTTAAATTAAAGCAAAACCTATGATTACCTTGATGGTTCTAGATGTTGGTTAAGTGAGCCACAATCACACGTTCGACAGACTAAAAAATTCTTATCTATATTATGTTTAATATTTTCAAATAAATCTTATAAACAAGCAAAAAAAATAAATATTTTATAATCCAATGGTTAAAATGTGATAAACTAATGAGTTAGCATACAAAAAGGCGATATTTCAAATTTAATGAGCTATTGAGTATTCAATCAAATTCTATTGAAAATGTATGAAACAAGTAGAAAGCTAAACTATGTTACACATATTGTAGTTATTTATATAACCACTGAATGTTTTAATTTATTTAGTTGGACTGTCTATGTTTTATTTTACTTTACAGTTTGTTTGTAAGAGTACATCGCGTGTAAACCGCCAATTCTGCGTACATACAATTTATATATTTTACCATCAAAATTTAAAAAATTGTAATTATCACTCTGAAAAAATAATTATATAATATATTATACAAATTTAAAAAATATGATTTTACAAAATTTCTGAATTAAGCCAATCTTTAATGATTTTTTTATTAAATAAATAAATAAACACTATTTGTATAAATGCAAAAATATTATAATCATTTTCTTCGGGTTGATTAATTTAGCTTTTTTTTATTATTGAATCTGTAGTAATGTGAATATTGAAAAATAATGTATTATTCATAGTTACAAGCCTAATCAATAACTGATAATTATCTAAGTCAATATCACTAATTTTTTCAATTTAGTCGATTAAATATTACAGTATCATATTTGAGTTATTCACGAGATAATATTTCCTTTCTAAATAAATTGCACTAGGCATTAACATACAGTGTATTTATCAGTTCAATCCCGATATTTATAATTGAAACTAGCAAAATTTATTATTAAATCAATTAAATCGTTTACTTTTCAACTTATAACGTATTCGAAACTATGTGACGAAATGCACGTGGGTCTAACGTATACACGTTTTTTACCACATCCTCTTTCCTACTATCCCCACTATTTTCTACTTGACAGATGTTCGACTGCTGTTTAAAACCAACACACACTCACACACTGAGTATACACTTCATGTATGAACAGTTATAGCACAGATTATATGAAAACTATATTTCATTAGTTGTAGTTATAGGCTTGTTCAGCGGCTTTCCAAACAATGTATTTATATTACTGCGCATATCGCAATGTGTGTAAACATTTAACTTACACATGAATAAAAATAAAAAAAGTACTTTAAAACAGACAATTCAAATTGCTATCAGGATGACATTAAATAAGTAAGTTTATTTTCTCTATCAACTGGTGGTTGAAAGACTAACCTGAAGGAACTCTCCGGAAGTCCTCTGCATAGCGACACGTACATTGGTGGGCGTTAATTCGACGTGGGTGTTAATAATAGAATTATCGTACTGGCTTTCATCCACTTGTTGCTGTTATGTCGAAAAGATCCTAACCGAACGATCGATGGACTTAATGGCAATAACAGTGTGATCGGCAATCGTCAACTCACGTGTAGGTACCGACCGCGTTGACATGGTCTACTGACGGCGGCACTCGAGTACCGGCGACAGTTGTGGCTTCAATTTTTTACTATCTTGTCTTGTTAGTTGCTATTCATAAACAGTGTGTAAACACAATCACACTTTACGGCCAGCGATTGTAATTGTTATTTAAAGTACACAATATTTTACACCAATGCAATGTCAAGTTGAGCGAACGATAAGTCGTCATTAAATTATGAAATACATTTGGCATAAAACTGTGAATTGAAACCAAAATTTTAATATTGACGTGGGTCGAATAACAGTTTCCTATAATGTGCCCAACTTTTTATTTCTTATTTTTTATATTTACCGTCGACACAGTACTGTTGCGCGGTTCCCGATCGAAACACGACTGCTCGGCTGTAAATAAAATACACTATGGCAGTCGCCACTGCGTTGCACACATCCACACAGCCGACTGTGCTCCACTATTCTAAACTCCATTTTATTTACATTGTGTTCATTATTGCAGTTGCCGCCGCCACCGGTCACTACAGTTCTCGTTCAGTGGTTGCTTCTTTAACTGTTGGCCAAAATAATGAAGAGTCACTGTCGAAACTGTTACTACAATAACAAACACCACACGAAGGACTACGTACTTTTTTTACTTTATTCGCCCATACAATTCTATTCATCAGTGTTTATTTCTCCATTAAGTATGAAATGGTCAACTGCATACTAGCAGAATGAAAATATTGAGCAACAATATCAAGGATAATGTTTGTAACTTTTAAGAGGCGGTAATAAGAATAAAGGTGACTTAAACATAACTGACATTCCGTCAGTTATGTTATTCGGGCACCCTAGCCTCTACCGTTTAATTTGTTTCTCAATCATGTTCTACATTGTTTTTTAACGGAGGACATGTAGGAAAATAACAATGGGCCATTGAACCCTGCAGTCTTTAACACACGCAGGTATTTTTACGTATTTTGGTAACGTACAGATTTTCTTTTTGTTATATCGCTGACAATTCATACACAGTTAGAGTATATTGCATATAAATGAATAAAAAGTTTTCAAAATGTTAGTTAAATCATTTGATTAAAACTTTTTAAGTAGTCGTATGTGCGTAAAATGGTAACGTATTTTGCAAATATTAATAAAAGTAACTAAATTTAATTTTAATTTATTAGCATAATTATTTTTTTAATAATTTAATATTGAAGGCAATAATATAATACACTATTTGAATAGTCGTGTGAGCAATATCAAAATAAATGAAATTTTCATTGGAACACGTGGGATATATTTTTACCTTATAAGCTACGTAAATAAAATATATGCAAATTATATAATTTTTTTTCAATTTTAACCCCGTTCAAATCTAAAAAGTTCTAGTTCGGTTTTCTAACTTGAACATTTATGTACAAGTTTGATTCGAAAAATGTTGTTATCAATAAGTCATTTTCTTAATTATATCATTTTCTATTTTATAAACTAGTTAAACATATATATATATATATATTGCTATTAAAAGAAATATTGTTGACACCCTTATAATAAAGCATAAGGGATGAATTTCAAAAATGTTTTATTACAGATAAATTAGAATAAATGTGTAAAAAAAATCCAAAAAATTATTATACAATAATTTATATAAGAACCAATTCTAAATACTTAAAAGTGTAATTTCGTATTTTTTATAAGAGGATCTTGAAATAGTCACATCCAACAGACCCATGAGACGTTTTACCAAAACACCAGCTATATCGATTCAAAGACATATAAGCTTATAGTAAAACATAGAACACTTATCATACTATCCTACTAATACAATATTTTTTGCTATTAATTTATTTAATATTATAAAACACGTTGTATTTTTTATTTCAAACTTCTAAAATAAAAAACACAATAATCATTGAAAAGGTATTGCAAACTTTAGGTATGCTAAGTATTTTTGAAGCTACTTCATGTCCCTCTAAATTTGTACCTATAAAACCCTGACAAAGTTAAATTTAAGTTCTTAGTAGTGATCTATTTTAAAATGAGTGCACTTATTCTATCATCTAAATTGATATTAAGCTTAATTAGTAAAATAAACTTAAAAAAATAGATAAAAAACCTACTTTTTCTTGAATTTTTTATCAATGTTACAAATAATGTTTTGAGTAATATTTAATATAATAGCTTAGAAATATTTAAATAACCTTCCCTATTAATTACTTTATTTAATTTATTTCATTAAAAAACACAGATCAATTTATAGAAATGTTATACAATGAATAGCATGCATAATTATTTGTGTTTTGTGCCATAACTGGTTTTTGTGTACAATTTGTACATTAACTTTAAATTCTTACACGAATCAGACAGCTTTTAAAAAATACGTTACAACTTGTTTGCGTTGGATGAAAATTACATTAATTTTTTCAAATCTTATTCATTGGTATAAGAAGATAAAAATATGTTTGGTTCAACGAGTACAGTGAACTTTTGAAAAGAATAAATTACAAAAATACAAATAAAACACAATTTCTTGTTAATAATTTCAATGAGATTTTTTAGGTATACAAAAATACTATTGATAAATAAAATATACAGGGTGTTCAGTAAATAAGGAAACGAATTTCTATTGTACTCATTGTTTGTAACAATTTAACTGTTTCATAACTTACTGAACACTCTGTATATTCAGTATTATTTAGTACGGTATTATTTACAAGTGATCATTAAGTATTTTTTTTTTCAGAAATTATATCTCATTACATTGTGAGTAAATTTTTGTTCACTTTAAAATAAACTACCTACCTAGGTAGTTTATCATTGAATTATACAGTTATTCATGACCATTTTTAAATTTTACCTTTAATAGTTAACCAAATTGGTCAATTATAACGTATGTTAGATTTTCAAATACCGTTTAAATATTTATGTATATATTTTTAGAACATAATTTTCTAAGGGCATTATATATATATCACAGTCGCTACTTAGTTTATCAGTACAAAAATATACTTAATAAATATTAAAATAACCTATTTGATAAGTAATAAGTAATAAAAAAAAGAGTTAATTATACCAAAATATGACTAAAATAAATAACAAATCAGATTTTATAATTTATTCTTATTCAATTTTATGGTCGAAAATTAATTTAATTTTATAGTTCAAATCATGTTAACTACTAAATGTGCATCTTAAATTATAAATAAAAATACGTTTTACTTTTTTTATTCATTTTAAAGGAAGGCAGCGCCTACTCCATCTCCCGACAAATTCGCCACTAACTTTGTCATGAAGATTGTTGGGCCATGATATAATATACATTGGCATATCTAACATTTGTTATAACTTTTGTGGGAGTAAAATTAATTTCTCATTATCTTAAGAAATGTTTATTACAATAGAAGAGTAGTATTAAAATCACAATAATTTCAAATAATTTTTTGAGGTCAATAATTCATAAAACACACTGTCCTTGATATTCGTCATAATTCTATTTAATATGACTTTTGAAGTATGAACATAGAACTCAAATTGTTTGTATAGACTATGTAAGATAAATTTCATTCTTGGCGATAAGCATAAAGTCATAATTGATGTTTTAAGTATAGAACATGTCAAATATTATTTTAATCTAATTTTTTAATACTTGAAATTATTTTAAAGATTAATAAACACTTATTTTATAATAAAAAAAAAAATTAATTTTAATTATGCTTATATCATCATGTAGTTGACGAATGTATTTGTAGTGATCAAACAAGTCTAAATCTTAAACACATACCGAGATTTCTAATAAAATATTTATTTTGTTATTCTTGAACATAGTGCATTTTTTGTTAAAATTATTTTTAATTGATTAAACGTTCATTTAAATCATGCAAATAAATAATGACTAAGTAAGCGTAGGGCTTATGAGTTTTAAGTATAAGGCAGTAGTTAATCTAAATGAAAATAAATTCACTATTATAATAGTAAACAATGCTTACTGAACACCAAAAAATTTAACATTTTTCAGAATTTAAATTTAAAAAATGATTATTAGAATCTATTTATTAATAAGTTATTTAATTTAGAATTTAAAGGATTTGAAATGATTCACATTAAAATTTAACCAATTTCATTTTATAAAAATAAACCATGTTTATTATTTTGATTAGTTATACTGACAATAAAAATGAAAATTTCATTAATATTAGTAAATACCGCTTGTGCTTTAAGTAACAGTTTTTTCATATTATTAAATTTTAGATTTTTAAGTTATATTGCTATTTTTTTTTATTTAAAGATGCTCATTTATCAAGTCTAAATTTTAAAATGGCATTTAAATAATTTTTAGTTTTAATCTTCTGTTGTGTTCAATGACAAAATTAAAAAATATTTGTAAAATATATGTTTAAATTAAAAAGATATTTTATAATCAGTTTATAATATTAAGTGTGCAGTACATTTAAATGCGTATATTATATGAGACTATTTTAGTTTTTACATTAAAAGTGTAAAGTAGGTCTGATTAACGTCGTTACGTGTATGTTTTAGATATTATGTACGTGTATATTTAAGAACAATTTTGGTGTAACAACTGTAGAGTACACATTCAAGATATGTCTATTTTACATTTATATTAATCATGTACGAGGGATATTTTACGTCTATGATTAATATAACTCTATGGAAATATTGGAATATATTTATTTCAAATACTGTGTATAATGTTTATGTATATACTCTGAATACCCATATTTAGATGAACACTATTGTAATAGGCTCTTATTATAGTGTCTATAAAGTATGCTGTCATTAAATCAATATTCAACTTTAATTCATGTAACAATTTCAATAATTTATGGCTTTCACATGACCACCAGTAAATTTAAAGTGAATTATACACTTAAAACTAATCTCTTATTAAACAAATTAATATAATATTATTTAAAACCTTTTGTTTGTGATGACAACTTGAAAATAAATTTATGGTGGTAATCAGCAACGAAACAAGCGACAAAAGTACGAAGATTGCAGCACAGTAGAAAATGCAAAGTAGAATAACTAGTTTTATCAGAAAAATTTATTCTTTAAGGAGGTAATCAAGTGGATTTGATCATCTGACTGGCTTTTTAACACTATTTAGCCGATTATCGACAATACTACGCACATAGAGTTGAAGGTTTCAAAGTCAAAAAAATTGAGAAATGTAATTTTTTCTATGTAGTTGTTTGGGGATATATAATAAATATCACAACATTTAAAAATAACACAATGATTTGTAATCCACTCATAAAAGTGGTTATTTTATTGTTTATTTTTACACTTATTTAATTTATTTCGAAATTAAATCTTCTTCTTCTTCCTCGCTTTAATCCCAACTACTTGGGGTCGGCCACCTTTATCCTAAACTTCCACTTGACACGATCTTCCACATCCTCTGAGCTCACATCAGCTGTCCTCATAACGTATTCAATAACATCTCTCCATCTCTTTTTTGGTCTTCCTCTACCTCTTCTTTTTTCAACATTCATTTCTACAACTGTTCTAATTTATTTCGAAATTAAATTAGTAAAATTTATCACCGTCAGTTTTGAATGTCTTAAAATTAAAAAAAAAATCCTTTTCACCTACTGGAATATTTAACAAAATATCTTTTTGTCCGACTTCATATTTACTACATATTTTAAGACAACAAGCTAACCCTCATTTAATAATGCTCCCGAGTGTTATAGATTATACAATATGATCATAGTACCATTGTACGTACAAACATTAGGTCTCCCCAGTCGGTCGGTCTTTGTGATGCTAAAATTTAAAAAACAACTGTCCATATTAAAAAAAACTATTGGATTACAACACATCTAACTGCTCTATAAAGAACCAACTTATCAGCCTTTAAAAAAAAGACGTGATAGAAGAAAGTTGGAATAATGGAATTTGGTTCATTAAATATGTTCTGGGTTTACCAATGTTGACTCAAAAAAACAGATTTGTGACTCAGGTACGCCCTTTATTTACTCGTCATGCAATATAAATTATCTTTCCCATGTAAAATTTATTAGTAAGTATGTAAGTTTAGTAATAATTATAACACTTTAACTGGCTATTATCAAATTGTCCGTGGCCTAAAATCAAAACAATCTAAAGTTCATCTAAATTTGACTTCCTAAACCGTTACGATTATTTTATTTTAATTGAAACTTGGTTAACAAATAATATTTGTAGCAATGAACTAGATATGTTTGGTTAATCTATATTTTATAATAATCGTAATGATTAAAATTAATAGTTTTCTGTTAAATAAAATACCAGTACCATCAGGTGTTTACAAAGGGGGCATTTATCATCGCTATTGTTTGCAATATTTATTTTGTATGTAGGTGTATGATTTAAATACTGTAATTATTAGTTGTTTACCGATTATTTTAAGATTTATGCTAAAATTGTAACAATTGATGATCAATGCAAATTTCAGGATAACCTAATTAGATTTTGTGACTGATGTCGTTCAAATGGGTTAAAACTGAATTTCTTCAAGTGTTTCAAAATATCTTTTTCCCTTTTAAAAATTAATTGTGAAAACGCTTAAGCGAATACAAAGTTTTTTGCGCATATAAGAGACATATGCATTCCAATATTTATTCACCAGAGTCATTATCTCCTTATTCCACACAGAATTTCCTTAATTTAGATCCCCTTGTTAATAGATTATATAAAGACATTTGCTTTATATCTAAATTAGTAAATGGTGTTATATCTTGTCCAGAAATATTACAGCTTATAAACACTCATGTTCCTCAATTTCATTCACGTTTTTGTCTCACATTTGAAATTCCTTTTTGCCGCATTAATAATCAAATTGATTGATCGAATAGCAAGAGAATGTAATAATTTAAAAGTTGTGTTTAAAGTTTAGTGTTTAATTGATTTGTATCATTTTAATCCTTCCCTTTCATCCACTTGACCCTAAATTTATCTCTTATATATATATATATATATATATATATATTGCGCACAATATTCAAATCTTATAAGTGTACCGAATGTGTTTTGTATAGATAAAACACAATTAAGNTATTCTTATCATGTTTTCATTGAATATATTAATTTTGTTACTGTACTTGAGCATTTACCCAATAAATAAATAAATTTTTATCAGCTTTGAAAAAAGTAGAACACATTGCTTTTAATTAACATTTTATATTGAAGAATATTTACAATAAAACTAAGTATAACATATTTAATAAATATTAAATTAGTTAATCTTTTAATACAGAAATAGTATTTTAATAATTATTAAAATTTAAAGGTATCACAGATATATTTAGGAAAAACATTGTACACTTTTTTGTAATGCTCGCTTAATTTCTTCTCTACTTTTATTATTAGTTTCTGGTATGAAAAGTAAAATGACAGTAAATCCTATTATAGACATAATCATGAAACCAATCCATACACCAACTGGGAAACTCTCAACTAAAGGATTGAAAGATTTTAAAATAAAGAAAAAAAGGATCCAAGAAAATGCTGCTACTGATGATTGAGCAAAGTTATTCTGTTCAGATCCTATAAGTTCACTTCCCATAAACCATGGTATAGGTCCTAAGCCTAATCTAAAGAAAAAAATATGTATACATAAAATAATAACTGGCATAATTTCCAACCACGTGTTCACCAATAGTCCTGCAAAAATAAAACATGTTTTAAAAACATATAATTTATTTTAAATTGGAATTCTATACCCGCTTCCAAAAAATAGAAGTAAGAAGCTAACAGCGCAAGACAAATAATTACTGCTGATGATGAAATCATGAGAAGTCGCCTGCGACCAACTTTATCAATGAGTAAAATGGAAGCACCCGAAGCTATGACTTGAAAAATTCCTGTTATTATAGAAGCCGTTGCTGGTTTTACAGATGAATCAGACAATAAAAATAATTTTCCAGTGTACTGTATAATAGCACCAGCTCCAGATGCTCTTTGTATACACACTAATGCAAAAGATAATGCCAGTGCTTTTCTATTAACTAGTCTAGAAATAACAAATAGACTTTTTTATATCTATATTTCTAATAGTTTTGATTTTCAATAACTAACTGTTTTTCAGAATACCTTAAAGTTTCATTTCTACCAAACATTATTTGAAACTAGAAATCAGATTAAAAAAAATGATTCATACCTAATATTGTAGTTATTATCTCTGGTAACTGTATTTTGAGCTTTGGAAAGAATGGCCTGGTTTTTTACCTTTTCTAAGATTTTAAATTCTTCTTCAATATTACAATCATCTCCTTTTAACCACCTAAACAGTTACATGAATTTATTAATTATAATAAGTGATGCACTAATTATTCAAGTTGTTTAGTCTTACTTACCTTAAAGGAGCTATAGCTTCATTTAAAAGTCCTTTACCATAAAGAAATGATGGTGATTCAGGCATAAATGCAAACAGAATTGCAAATATAATAGGTATTACTGAGCAAGATAAAGAAAATGCTGGAAGTCCTACAAAAGCACTAATTGAGTATGAATACAATATTCCCAGACATAACATGAAATCCAAAAATACTCCTCCTCTTCCTCGACAAATATCTGAAGCAATTTCTTGATTATACAAAGGTACAGCTACTGTTATTGCGCCAACAGAAAAACCACATAGTAGTCTACCTAAGTATATCATATTTACATCCTGAAATAAGGAATACAATAATTATATATAATAACAAATAAAACTCCTACATGTTTAAACATATAAAAATAACAAAATGTGATGAGTTTAAGTAACAATATTACAATTAATTTTAAACAATAAAATTTACCTCACAATGGTGTTGAATAAGCTTCAAAATTTCTAAATAAAAAATGAAGTAATAATAGAGCAATGCAGTTAAGACCTAGACCCACTAGAAGAAGTCTTTTATAAAAATTCAAATCAAGTTTCTATCATATGTATTTTTTTTTAAGTAAAAATGATTTGTGTTTTTCTTAGCATTTCCAAAATGTTATTATGATTGAATAAGTTTGTCAAACTGAATAAGGGATTATAAAATATAGTAATAAACAGTAGTGTGGCCACAAATTTTAAGGGGTTTTTATGGAGGTATGTTACTCTCATTATCTTTTAATTTTAGTCATACATAGATAACATGGATATGGTCATAATAACATTATAACATTAAGATACTGGGTTTTTATAAGGGCTAACTATGTGTTTTGTAATTTTATCTACATTGTGTATAAAATATAGTTTTATTAATACATATATTAATTATAATATCAATTAAAAAACAAATTTAAATTTAGATAATTAAATTAAAATAATAAATATTTAACAAAAATAGCTATTTACAAATTTAGCTATTAGGGTGAGTGTCAGCTATTCTCATTGAGAATATATTCCTTATTCGCTCACTTAAGTATGCGCCTAGTAGTGAATTTATTATCATATCATGGATAAATTAGTAATTTTACTTATTACCTACACTGTTGTTATAAATATAAATAATGATCCAGCCAAGCGACATAGGAATACCAATTAGTAAAAGTGATGTTTTTCTACCTATAACTTGAGATATATGGCCTGCGAGAAGAGCTCCAATTAATGAACCTATTAAATAAATAGATATTATCCACGATGTTTGTTCTTCTGATACCATAAACATCATTTCACCCATATTTGTAGTTTTATTGGGAGGAACCCATCCTGCTATTACAGGTCCTGAGGCAAACGACAATATGGAAGCTGTAGGAAAAATCATACTGTTAACTAAAAACAATTATTTACATTAAAATAATTAAAAAAATATTTACTAACCAATAAAACTTGCTATTAAAGGACGAATATTCGATTTTAATTTTTCCGTGTCATTTTTGTAAAGTAATGGCTTTTTTTCATTGTACTGCCTTCCATTAACTTCAATTGGTACATACATTGAAACGACTACAATAAAGATTTAATAAAACACATAATAATGATTGGTTTCAATAAGCTATAATTTTTAGAATAAAATTTATAATCGTTTTAAAAATACTTTTTGTTTTGTTATGTAGTGTATACACGATAAAAAATTATGAATATTTTTTCATAAAATCACATTATTGTATTCATAATGTCAATTAAAAATAACGTGGATAGAAAAAGAAATAATATGTTCATAATTTCATGGCCGGAAATCAGTGGCGGGGATAGTAGGGATTTTTTGTGTTAAAAAAAAAACGAACGCATAATATACAATACCAATATTATATACGTTACCAAATATTTGAATTTGAATTTTAGTTTTTATCAAAGTAAAATAGATTCTGCAGTAATTGTTACTAACAGAATTTTATAACCAACAATTTTATTTGAGGGTTTGTACGGTTCAAGGATAGAAGTAACAAGTATTATGTGTTTATTTCTAGGCTTATTCCAAATAATTAATATTTATAATACCTTTATAAATGTTCTAGTAAGAGAGGTGTTATGTAATAGGTTTAATGATTGATATTAATGAGGCAGTAGGCGCGTATATAAAGATTTTTTTTTCGTGGGAGGTTTGACAATATTTTTTTTATCACAAAATTTTGAATACACATATTTTTAATGATGAAATTTTTTTCTCATTATTCTTATTCTAAGAAACAAATTTCAGTAAAAAATAAGGACGTGTTATGAATTTCGAGGGAAAATCGCGCCTCTTTACTCCATTGGGGTATGGGGAATTGCCTCTATATCTTAAACTGTTGACAACCATTTTGGCATTCCTTGTTTCATAATGCCTAAAATCTTAAGGATTCAAATAAATCTCCTTAAACTAAAAGAACAATATAAACTCTAAATGATTAAAAAAAAATACTTAAGTTTTTATAGATAGTTTTATCAGTACTATTATCGATAATTATACGATAACATTTATTTTATATTACTTATTTATATCATAAATAATTTTACTTAATTCAAAGTTAAACCTTTGATGCTTTGTTTGGAAGATATTAACTTCATTTTTTTTTTGTGTATCTGTTTCCACTTTTTCTCAGCTCTTATTGAACTGATTTTTCTCAACAATACGTCAAAACAATGTTGAATCTAGTTATATTTCAAAAAGACAAGAGATCCCTTTCATTTTATTAGGACCTGACCATTAATTCATCTCTAGTTGAACTAGCTTATAAAATAAAAAATGATTGGTCAATAATAACTTTTGAAATAGTTCTTCGGAAGTTATTAATATTCTTAAGTATAGAGTGGAGTTGAGTGGGATGGTGTGGCCGAGTCAGTAACGCGGCAGTGCTTGACACGCACTGCCTCCGGTTCGAAACTCGGTACGGGCGGCTTCATTTGTCGAACGAGAGGTCAGTTCGGTAATTGAAGTCGCCATCCCACTCTCCGGCGATGGACTAACCACCCGTCCTGGAGTATAAATGGTTAAGAAAACATCCTCCTAGAGGGAGGTCGCTATGGCCCTTAATGGCTAATAAAAGCGATAAAAAAAAAAAATAGAGTGGAGGTTAGGTGTAGGTTATATTATTTTTATCATAACGTATTACTCTGTCGTACTCTTCTTCCATTTTATATTTCAAAATAAAGTTAATGTTAATAACATTCAAAGAAATAGTTACAAAGTTTTTACCAACAAATCATTTAAACGATATTGAACAAATTATTATACAAAGAGTTCATAAATACCTATCACTATTATATTAAATTACTTTAATAGATAATAACTGTGGAATAGTGAAAATTATTTAAATTTACTTTGAAATTAATGACAATATTAATAATTAAAAGTTTTTTATTTTAATAACTCTGATTTGCATAATTTAATAATTTAATAATAATATTTTTTAAATTATTTTTTGTACTATTTTATAAACAATTATTTTCGAAAACGTTATTCATAGCATATTATTCAATATAACATCATGATATGGGCATAGAATTGTAGGCTTTTACATATGTTGTTAAATTATTCCGATACACATCAACCAGTACAAATTTTTATTCATTGACTTTAGAACTCAATAATATGCTATTGGAATTTTAGTTTTGAGGAGATTAAGGATAGTGATTTTTCATTTTTTCTAGTTTAAAAAGCAAAATAAAAAAAAATGTCATTAAAATGTTTTGTGACTGCAATGCAAGTATATAAGGATCAGAGCAACTGAAAATTACTTATCAAAAGACAAATTCTAGAATTCTAGACTAGAACGTTTTAAGTGGTCCATATTAATAATTTAGAATCTTTTAAAATATTAGATACTACAACAAAAATTATTGAGGACGCCATACTTTTCTGAAAAACCTGGAATTTCATGGAATAAATAATCCAATAAAATATCATTATACAAGACATATTTGTGGTATATTTAAGATATGAATTCCCACCTTTTACACTTTATTCTATACATACATAATTACAATTAATTTAAATTAATTAAATTATTTAAATCACACTTTTAATAACATGTTTAGAAACGTAATTTTTATCGAAAAAATTTTTTTTTAACAAATTACACACTCATACATTATTAATGTAACATTAAAATCTATTCAATAGAAAAATGAAGACACTTAATCAAAACAACATTTTTGTTTAATACATTCTTTAAATCATTATAATAATCATTTTATTAAAAAAAGTATAAGTATAAGAATCATATGTAACAGATAGCCGCTGATAAGTTAAAAAAAAAACAGTTACATAACTTGTCGTATTTCTTATCTATTCATTTATAAAATTTCAACATTACACTAGAAATTCGCTATTATACTATCGAAATAATATGAATTTTATTTGAATCAACTAGGTACTTACTATTTGTTATTAAGATAATAGTAACATTCTTCTTTAGAAAAACAAAAATAAAATTTATAGTTTATTGGAATAACATTAGTGACTCTTATCACAACTTAAAAATTCTGTTATAATCAAAAAGAGATAATTACATCTGCTCTACGTTTTACATAACAATGTGTTCCTCAGAATGAATGTTTCTTCTCGTTTCATTGCTTTCAAAATTAAATACCGGTTTACCCCACTACTCTTAACAGACATTATTAATATGACCCGCTTTGGAAGTAAACATTGAGTTTTACTCCTCATTTCAAACGTTGTATAATCGACTAAACATTATTTTTATACTGTAAGCACCAACTCATTTAATGCAAATTTTATCCCTTATATTGAAGGGTTGGAAGTATAATATTTTTAAATTGTTTATTTATAAATTTCTATTACTAAGTCGGCTTTGTGAAATTTGAGTCCATTAACAAGTATTTAATAGTTGACATGACGTAAAAAATTCTTACTGTTCTGTAACACACAAATCATTTTCCGACAGGGAGCAGAGTGTAACATTCGCTCTCATCAGATGCAGCCCAGGTCGTTACAACCAAACTGTTAATACTATGAATTACCTGCTATTAATAAAGAGACTTAATAAATCAACAAAATATTTCTTAAAAATTATATTTAATAAAATTATTGACGTTCAATGGTTAACAAAATTAGTTAAAACATAAAATTCAATCTAAAAATATAACCTACTATCCAAATTTTTCAAATTTTAGTAATATATATTTTTTATTAAAAACTCATTTTAAGCTTCTTGCACCACCTTCACATTACTTACTTCGAATGGCAGAGAAAACCTTACTAACAAATTTGTCTTCAATAAACTAAAGTATAGTCAATTGCTTCAAAACGCAAGCATAGGTTATATTTATTTTCCTTGAGAAATTTTTACTTTTAATAAGCACCAAAGGTCATCAATTTCAATTAAGATGTATGTAATCTGTTTACTTGAAGGCTACAATCTTCCTCGCAGAGGTATACTTGAAACCTTACCTCGGAGTGGAGGAGTTTCTCACATCTAAAATAGCTATTGTATTTATTTTCACAACATTGACCATTTTTTGCGTGGCTTACTAAATGTGTATAATATTAATGTGTATATATTCATTTTTATATTCTGTACAAATTTTATAAATGATGATCAGTTTTATATCGTTTTATTTCCCGAACTTAACATGCCACAAATGATAACTCTCTTTCACATATTAAAAAATAAAAATAGTTCTTGGCTAAGCCAATGATGGACGGGACAGGTATTATGGACGGCTTTCACCAGAGACCAGACACCACCAATAAGAAAATCACAAGAAATATCTCATTGGTACCCTGGGAATCGAACCAGGGACTACATAATTTTAGATTCACTCCAAATAATTATCTAGATGAAAATTTGCTAAAAATGCTGCTATAGACTTCACAAATCCATTCTCGTTGTAGAAAATAACATCAATTTAAAATTCAACTCATTCAAATAATTATGTTTGAAATTTATCTAGTTAAATTTTAGTAGTTATCCTTTTCAAAGTTGTCCAGATTTATAATATATAATTCAATAAAAAACAATTTTTGAAATTTTTTCAAAAGTCCAATTAAAGAAAGGAGAAAATATTATTAAAGTAGAATAATCCCTAGTAGATCTCTTAAACACTACCTATTGTTAATTTTTTATTTATGCAATGTAAATTATTTATTTTATAAATACTTTCTGAAAATAATGAGCATATTAATTAAATATAACAATCAAAGGTTGAAAATCATTAAACAAAATATAATCTGAACGTAATAATTAGTATAGAAAAATTTACTAGCATCAAATATTTTTGAAAAATAAATAAAGTTAAAATTTGAGATGACCTATTATAACACTAATCGTTATATCATTCATTAAAATACTTTGTTGTTTTGAAATTCAAACAACTTTAAACTATTAAGACATAATTAAAAGTACAAAATAAAAACTAAAAATGCCAAACAATTGAATTGTTAAATAAAATAAAATTAGTTAACATTAAATGAAAGTCAACAATTATAGTTTGTTAGTGTTCTTTTAGAATCCATATATGAAAAAATTTAGTTTATTTAATTTTAATTATAATTAATATTTTTATATTTAGTAGACAATATACCTATATATTATCAAAATATAATACATAATATATATAATTTAGAAAAATTCAATTTTCATTATGTAATACAATAATTGCATAATATTCCACTGCTAAAAACAAAATATACAGTTTATAAACCATTAAAATGACCTAAATCAACAGTTATTATAATGACTTTTACATATTTATTTTTTAGAAAAAAAATTATTCCATTTTAAAGTAATATTATATAATAACAAAACAGCCTATAACTTATAGCACTAAAACTTTATAGCTCTTAAAATAAGGACTATAATAAACCCAATAACCAACTCTTTGATTTATAATAATTTTTTCTTGCATATATATGTATTATTCATAACATTTTTACTGAAGCTACTCAAACATATGACTAAGAAAATTTACCGACTCAAACATATTTTGCTGCTTTTGTACTATTAAATTAAAATAAATTTAAAACCTAATATTAAATTTTGAAATTAACGACTTTTAAAATAAAAGGAATAGAAGAAAACATTAAGATGGAGATATTAATTAAGACAAGCCAATCGATTATACACCACTATGAGGTTACTAGATTTACGTGCTTTTACGTGATTTACGTGCTGAATTTTTTGTTACTGTTTTGTTTATGTTTTAACTCCCTGATACTGTTCTCGATTATATATTAAAATAGCACTAAATCCATAGAATAAGCAAAATATTACCTCAACTTCGAAATCTGTAACATAAATTCGTATTTAGCATGTTAGTTTTCTGAAATAAATTATTACCAGATATTTAAACAATTCGATTTGTTTACGGTTTCGGTTAGAAAAACCAGAAAAAATCAGTTTTAATCGGTTAAAACTAGTTTTCAAAGAACTGATGTTTCAGTGTTCAGTCCATATTCATAACTTAATATGTGTTTCTCAAAAAAGAATATAAATTTTAGAAGTTAATATTAATAAATTTGGACGTTCAATAAAAAAAAAATTGCAACACTATATATATATTTTTTTACTATTTATTAATTCCTTAATACTAACATACTTTGGTTTAATTGATAAGATCAACATATAACACAAATTGTGTTTTACATAATTTTATTTATAAAAATAATTCAGCTTCTATTTGTTCATGATTTCTGTTATTGGTTTCTGGCACAAATAAAGCTATAAATAAAAATCCAATAGCTGAAAAAATAGTGAAAGTGAGCCACATAACACTTGCATAGTTTTTTATGAAGAATTGGAAAAACATGAGTATGAGGAATGACAATAACCATGAGAACGATACTGCCATTGACTGAACGTGTGCCGCTTTTTTGGAAGGTAAAATTTCTGTTACTATAAACCAAGGAATAGGACCTAAACCGATTTGAAAAGCTGAAATGAGTCCACACACAATGATAAAAAACAACGATCTCCAAACGAAATCGACCGATTCATCTGAAAAATTATTTTTTATGTTTGTTACTAAACTTGATTAATTTTTAAATTTTGCTATGTTATCAGCTCGCAGAATTACCATCAGCTAATAAATATAAGTAAATAGATATAATTGCTAGACAAATAGTACAAATGAAGGAAGATATCAACAACAAAGTTCTTCGACCGACTTTATCGATAAGCAAAAAAGCGATCCATGATGCTGTCAGTTGAAAAACTCCAAACACTATGGACGTCATATAAATATCGGTGTCTATCTTAGAAACTTCGAAAAATATTACAGTATAATGAAGTAATCCAATAACGCCGGTTAGCTTTTGAATAAGTACTAATCCAAAAGAAATGAGTATCACTTTGTTTGTTATCTGTCTAAATTTATAAAATTGTATTAATTGAATTTTCCACAAAAATAACTAAATATAATATTTATTACACAAGTTGATGTCTAAATAAATTTGATACATTTTACCTATCATATGCTAAATTGAAATTCATTTGAAACTTTATTGTGTCAAACTGACATATCTCATATTGACTAAATTCTTTTTTAATATTGAAATAATTTCCTCTTAACCATCTAAAATAATTAATTAACAATTCAAATTTTCATAAAAAATGTTTTAATAAAATTTTCGAAATTGTAATCACAATTTTAAACTTCATATAAATTACTGAAAAATCACTGAAAAATCACTGATACTTCTATTTTTCATAATTTAATAGTATAGTATTTGTTACCTTAAGGCTTTGATTGCTTTGTAGTATTGTCCGTTGCAGTATAAATAAGTTGGTGACTCGGGCATCCAACTAAAAATTGCGACAAAAACAAATGGTATAATAGCCAATATGACAATAGACTCTTGTAACCCAGTCCAAAAAGATCTCGTAATATAAGTAAATAAAATTCCAGCACAGCTCATAAAATTAAAAAACACACCTGTTCGTCCTTTCAATGCTACAGACGAAACATCGTGTGAATATAAAGGAATAACAACCGATGCAGCTCCCAACGAAAAACCACATATTAATCTGCCAACATATATATATATCACCTATAAAGTTCCAAACAATTTAATATTTATTTTATAAAACTATACGGAAAATATAATAACTAAAAAAAATGAAGCGCAACAATTGAATTATAAATAGGGCACGAAATTATATGTCACACTCAATAATATAACCTCGATAACAATATATTACTAATTTCTAAAGTTAATTATAAAAAATTTTTAGAGGCTTTTAGTGTCTTTGGAATAACTTAATAAACTTTACTTAAACGCTTTAATTGTAAAATACTTAATTTTTTTTTTTCAAATTACTAATATTTATAAGTATGCTAATAAATTATTTTTAAATACATTGTTAATCCGAACAAAGAAAATGGAAACGACTTTCCTGCTTTAAAACATTGGAAATATTCACGAGGACTTAATATAGAAAATACATTAAAAGTATTAAATAGTTTTATAGTTAAAGACATATAAAAAAATACCAATTTAATTTTTGAACAAACTATACCATTGGTTTATTTTTTATCTCGTATTGTTAAATGTAATCTATTAATGTGTAGTACTTACATTGTTCATGTTTAGAAGAATAAATAACCATCCACAAATCATAGGAGCAGAAAGCCATAATAATAACTTTTTGGGACCAAACATTTGAGACCAAACCCCAGCTTGAATTGAACCAAAAAATGCACCCAACATACAACTAGAAATTATCCAAAAATATTGTTCTTCGTTTATTATTATTATTTCATTATCATCTTTGTAAACTTTTGTATCCGAAAACACTGCAACTACTGTTCCCGATGCAAATGACATCAAAGAAGCTAAGAAATAAATATAAACTCATTTTTATCTTGATCAAAATTCATTTTAACTATAAAATAAAATTTTATAACAAATTGTTTAAATATTATTAAACAGCATAGAAAAATCATTTTTCTAAAAAATAAAAAAAGGATAAGATCTAATAATTTGGGAAAAAGCACGCATAAAAACTCATCAATTAAAAAAATTAAATAAAATTTTGTGTTTAATAAGTCTTAACTAATATTATATTTTTCGAATTATTTGTTTCTGTCTTATTAAAGTCAATGCAGCCTTGAACATTTTGTGCCCCCCTATAGTTTTGATTGTCAGGGCACAAAATGTTTTATCTATTATTAAATAACTATACGATAATTTATTGATGTAAATATTTACTGCCACAATATTAACAAATATGAAACTTAATACATATATTAAATTAGTACATTATAATAATCTATATAAGAATAACAGGAGGATAAAACAAGTTCAAGCTGTTTGGAAAAAAGTCCTATTTAAATATCATCCTTTAGTTAAACATAGAAACTTACCCAAAAAGGAAGCCAAGATTTGATTTCGACATCCTGAAGTAAATTCGTAATCTTCCCGCCTAAGTAGTTGTACATTTTCATTGTACATAAATTCGTCTAAATACTCTTTCATGAATTCAATTAATGATTTTATATCATTAATAATTGAATGGATTTCAAAAAACTAAAACACACACTATATCATTTCTACAACTCTTAATGGCTTTTTCTAAAAAATTAATTTAATTTAATTTAAAATTCTCCTTCCTAAAAAAAGTGTGTTGTGTATAGTACATGCAAATTTATTATGCAAGAGAGTAAAAAAACAGTATTTTAGAAACTTAGCTTTTTATCCATCATCAGATTATATTTAAGATTAAGATAATTAAAAATAATATTTTGAAAAATAATTAATCTCTACTATTAGGTTTTATATTTTCAATTCAAATATAATTCGTAAATAGTATTGCGATAAAAAAAAAATTAATAAAAACTGTACATTTTAAATTATAAAATTTTATTATATTTTTACAAATGTTGAAAAGTAAATAAATAATATCAATAAAATTTAACCACATACTTGTCTATCAATCTAACACTGGTTCATATTATTCTTTAAATAAATTATTTATCCTAATTTTTTGTAAAATATAAAACTGCACCTAATTGTTCTTCACATTTCGTTAGCAATAATTTTCAATAGTAAATTTATACTTATTTATTTACGTAAAAATATAACACGAAGAGTAAAAATACCGTCGAAAAAAATCAGCGATTGGGATCCTACAAAAATTCAAGATTCTCCGACGAAGATACTTTAGCAAATAATAATCAAAATAAAATGTGTAGGAAATGGATCATCAGCATCACTATGATACCAACCGGTTTTTAGGCAATCTTGTTTGGTGTACCAAATATAATTAGACTTTGAACCTAAAAAAATTATTCATTCTTCTTTTAAACATGTTTATGATATATTTTATTTAATCTTCAATGTCTATACAAATGAAATATTTAATGTCTATGAGTCACTATTAGAAACACAAATTACATAATTATATTTTTTTCCCGTAATTATTATAGCTATACACAAAATAAATTTTTATCTAACAAATTATTTTAATTTTGGCAGTATGTTCTTAAATAACTACGATCATTAATCAATTGATTTTGAACTTGTAGTCTATTTTAAGTTTCATTAGTATGTTTATAACAATTGTTAGTCTTAATTGAATTATATTTATTTAAGCGATTTAGCAATAAATTATTTTAGGTTAAATAACGTTATACCGATCCTGGTTATTGTTCATAATTAAATTTTAATGTACAAAAAAAGAAATCTTAAATTTCTAAAATACATTAACAATTTTATTTTTTCATTTATTGCAATTTCTATGTATATTTTTCATTTACGAGAATTGTTCAATTTATTGTATTTTATTTTTATTGTAGAAGATTGCATATAGAATAAAGGATACTCGTGACACATTTTGGACATTTTTATAACGAATATATATTAGCTGATAATCTTCTAAATAGCGCCAAATATTACTGTATTGATTCTACTGTCAAATATTTGTTACTAATAAAATATATTTTAATTAAATTGTTATAAGTATTAGAAAAATGCTAAATTTGTTTGTTTTATAATAAAAAATTATTTAAATAAATATTTCAATTTTTTGTGTACTCGAGAAATTAAAGCCCTTATCAAAAAATTACCTAACATTTCTTAATGACTTTTGAACTATAATAAAAACAAATCAAAGGCTGTGAGTATGTGCCTAGTGCTGATGATGACAACATTGCTCCTGAAGTACATATACGCGATTTTTAGTATTTTTTTGGCTTAATAAATTAAATATCTTTTAGTTATTAAATTTAGCCGCAAGTTATTAAATTTAAAATTTGTATAAACTCTGATACCTTTACACTATGTTCATCAAATAATTAAATTATTTCACTAAATTTAAACGTGTATTGGACATTTTCTAAAATTATCATGAATTTATCTTTTTTACTATAATCAAAAAAAAAAAATAAAGTCCAAAATACCATCAGAAATTTTGTTTACAGAAATTAGTAAACTATAATAAATAACAAATAAATATTTAAATGGTTTTACACAAGTATAACATAATATAAATAAAAATTAACCAACGTTAATGAAATAAAATATTATAAAAAATTCAGTACTATTTCTTTCAGTTATTTTTGAAACTAATTGTTTAAATGTAACATAAAAAGAGTTAATGGTTGGGCAATGAAGTGAGGTAGGGACTCAATTGAATATTTTTTAAAGTTTGTTTCTAATTTGTTACGCAAAAGAAATAACCTTGATTTTAGCATTATTTGAACACCTAGCGAGAACATTAAAACTTTTATTTGTTTTAAAATCTTAAGCAATTACGTAACATTTTCTCGTGTTAACTAATAAATACTAGTAATAGATAATAGTAATGGTATGACTACCACATGTATCAGATACACTTATTAAGAGATTGAAATAATCATCAAATGAGATAAGGTTAGGGCAACAAATTGTTGACCCTTTTACATGATATGTTAACAAATAGCAATTCAAAAATGTGACGAATCATTATCAAATAATAATTTTATATAGATAAAATTTTTAACTAATATCCAAGCCTGGTTGATATACCAGTAAGAATTCCAAGGAATATTTGTTTATACTTTTTTAACTTTTTATTTGATAAAATAAAAACTAATTTAAATTTCACTAAAAATTAATAGATTCGTAATGTTTCTACAGAAATATATTACATATGTGCTTTTAAATTAATGAAAATCTAGTTGATATGGTGTATTATAGAAATTCAGAAGAATAATTAAACGAAATGTTAGTCTTTAGATAGTATATTGTAAACCTGTGTAGTATTAATTATTTTTAAAATATAAAAATGTTTTTATAGCCATAAAAATTGTATGTTAAACCAATATATATTTTTAAATCCTACATTTATATTTAAAATTTGTAAAACTTACTTATTCTTAAAAACAAGTGATTTAATAAATAACACGTGCAATTTTAAAACTAAAATAAATTGTTAATTATATGTTATAATGTGTTTAAAAAGATTTTTTAAGTTTTAGTGGTTGTAATTATATTGTATTATACATTTAGTACTAGTAATGCTCAAAAATTCAACAAACCCGGAGATATCGTAATAGATAACTGAGTTAGTATCAACATTTCAAATGTACTTGAAACTAGTTTAATACGTTAACCTTATTAACTGCGGTTAATAACAGTCTAAATGAAAAGGACCCGGATACTACAATTCTCATCGATCCCGGTTGATTTGTCAATTACAAATCATGCGGGGATTTCACCCTTATAAAAATTAATTTTTATACAATATTAAAACTTAATAGTATTTAATTTTACATATCCATATGCACTCAAAAACCACAAGGTAATTTTTGTGTCATAATTGTAATAGTGTGACATATATTCTTTTAATTAACATTTTGTTTTTATTGTTATAATCATAAATGTAATAAGTAATATAATATGTGTACAATGAAAAATCCACATAGTTGAAACACCACAAAAGTAATAATAATTACAATTTTATTGATAATATCTATGGTTTGTTGCATGATGGACCAATATCACATTTTATTACAATTATTAAATAATTTTTTGGGGTGTCTTTCGTAATTCTAGAAAAAAAATTAGTATGGGCCTAGTGCCAGTTTTAAACATCAACACGACATAAAAGATCCTTTTTTGCATTAACTCAGAGATTTATAAATAAAATGTAAATAATTTTTTTCTAGAAAAATATGTATTTATAGAGGGAAAGTATTAAATCATAATAGCTTAAATTTATGAAATTTTGCAAGTATAAATAAAAAAAAACCCAGCACGGGGGGGTCGCGGCACAGTGGTGACGTGGCATAGTTGGATCAAGTATAATGATATCTGACAGTGATTAAAATCACTATCAAAAATAAACGCTTCGATGCAAATCTTTAGATAGTGTTTAATTTTAAAAAAATTGGTGTTTTATTCCAAAAGCTACTTGATCTGCTGGTTCCTTATTAATATCTCGATTAAGATAAAGTATGTCGAATGAAAAAGGGTTTATTAAAAAATATTATTTCTCATAAAAAAATTGTGTGGATCCATAAACTTTTCAATAAGTTATAGCATTATAAAGTTAAATATAATATAAATAATAAAATCGAGAATTTTCACACGAAAATAGCATTCGGTAGCCATTTTCGCCGTGAAGACAAGTCCAGAGGTCAAATTTTTTTTTTTCAAATTAAAGTATATTACATTAGCTTTAATTTAAGATATATATAAAAGTGTCAGACCTTCCGGAACATTTTCAAAAGTTAAGTTGAAAAAGTTAATTTTTTGTGAAAAAGTTGTCATTTTAAATCCCCCCCTGTGGGCAGAAAAAAGGTCAAATTTACAAAAAAAATATACCAAATAATAGGTAAAGACATCAAGCATCTATATAAAAAAAAATTATATTGATATGTTCATTTTTGAAAAAGTTACGGCAGTTTTTAGTAAAAAAAATTGAAAAAATTTCGAAAATTAGCGATTTTTAAATTTGTAATTTTTTTGGAGGTTTCCCCCATTTACGTGGAACGAGGGAAATTTTTTCAATTTTTAAGGGTAATGTCTTCGACTAGATACGATTTGTGATCTTTTGACGTATCGTTGAAAGAAATCCGTTCGGTGAGAGCTGAGAAAAAGTGGTACAGACACAAAAAAAATAAATAAATAAATAAAAAAAAAAACACATCATAGTAAAACCAATACCTTCTCAGCTTCGCATCGAAGCTAAAATGAAGGTCCCTCAGATTTGTATATAAGTTAATGAACAAAGTAATCCATAGATTTTAATCAATTTTGCACATGAGTTCAATAAGATTATTTATAAGATTAACATTTCCGCCTTACGACTATCATTATTGGGAATACTGTAAAGATCACTAAGTAATTTCTAAGTAAGTTATTGTTTGTATTTATTAAAATATTATAAAATACTAAAGAGTAAGCTTGCTTAAGGTATTGTTACTTTATAGGTTATGAGATAAATATTTTTTTTATGATGATTAACTATTTATTATTTATTATTTCTATGGCAAAAAATGTTGTTATATTTTCGTGACCATTTTGGCAGAAGAAAAATTAGGATAAATTACATTTTATAGGTAAATATAATTTATAAATCACTTTTATATTTAGAATTTAATATAATTGTACTAATTACTTATGTAAAAGCCTTAAGTCTTTGAATTAAACTTTTACGAATCCACCCCCATAAACTCTAATTCATAATGGGCTTATCTTATTAAAATCCATCTGAGTCTCTAACACATTTACTTTACACATAATAAGTAATTAGATACTCATCATTACTTAGAATAATAATAACATGTCATTGAGAATATCTATTCCAAAAATAAAAAACAACTATTAGTGGTTAAAAATGTTTGAATAACTCTTTGTTAAATTTTATTTTATTAAGAGTATACTTAAATTAATTTTAATACCTAAGTGGTGTTTTTTTTATTAATAAATAAATTATGTTTTTAAAATTTTTCATACACTAATCAAAAGTAGTATTAAATATAAATAAAACCCTTTTAAATACTAAGATATCACGTTTTTACTAGTCCCGAACCTTGTGTAAAATTTAATTAATTAAACATATTTTTTTATTTACTTAAAAACAAATTTATTATTTTCTTTGATTAATACTTATTTGTAGGAATAAAATGTATAATTTTATCTTTATCAGCCGTACTTGTCTCAGTAAATCAAACATAAAACTTTAAATTAAACTTAAGAAAAATTTGTAATTTTATTACATATTAATAATATATAAATATATTCATATTCAAATAAGTAATGATCGAATACTTAAATTTAAATGTAATTGAATATAAATTTGTATAATTATAGAAATTTAAAAAATTATATTGTATAATAATAAAAAATTAGCCCACAAAATAATTTTTTTTTGCAATTTATTAGAATTTAATTAAAATAATTTGCTATTACGTTAAATCAGTATCAAATAAATTTATTGAAATGTTTTCATATTCCTACATTTGATATCTTACACAAACACACACATATATATATATATCTTTTGGGATCACAAGTTCTAAATTAATATTCTAATTAAAAATTTTAACATCATAATAGTTACGGTAACAGTAAAATCATTCTTTTATGGTTAATTTGTATATTTTATTTCAACATTCAATTGATTTGTGAATAATTAAATTACAAACAACTTAAACTTTTTGTAGATGAATATAACGTTCTACTTTTTGATTCGCAGTTTTTATCGTCAAATTTAGAGTTTCACTCTAATGGCGAAACGAAACTTAGATAGACTTGGCGTGTATCTAAGACCTCGGAAATATATGAAAGGCATTGAGTACATTAAAAAAATGGATTTGTGTTTTACCAAGAGGGATGGATCTGGTTTTTTAACATATATGGTTAAGTACGTTCGGGCTATTTGTAAAGATGAAGTAGCAAAGTATCGCGCTATGAAGATAATTGAAAAATACTATGGAACATCGTAATAATTATGTATAAGTTACTCTATACAATATAAATAGTTTAAAATTATGTATTTTGTTAAACACCAATTGTAAACCGTAATATAATCACAATGGAACATTTAACTATAATTACTGGCGTAAAAAAAAGAAGACTAGCTAATGAGCCTACAACTTTCGTACAGGCAGTCATAAATAGTTCAGACTTTTAAATTATTTCTATTATTGAAACCTATTTCTTTTTTCTATTATACTAAAAAATAAAAACTTTATGATAATCGAATATAATATAATATAATTTACAAAACATACATAAACTAATATTTTTATATCATTTTAACACAATATTATTTGTCATAAGGAATGACCATAAAAATTTGATATTTTAATCAAGATAAAAAATATTTCAACTGTTAAATTTTTTTTATAAAAATACAAAAATAATGAAATCTTCTACTTCTTTAATCTTACGCAAATAACTTAAATCAAATTTATTTAAGATACTTCGATAAAATATTTATTTATCTGAGTGAAAATTTTAAACATGAGTTCTATCACAAGTATTAATATTTTTTTATCAATAATTTTAAATTTGGTCTTTAAAAAGTTAAGTAAATATTATAGTTAATATTATTTTATAGATACACTTGATAAAATGTCTAAAAAAATGGAACAATTTTGAAATACGAAAACTAAAGGTATACACTACAATATTTTTAGGAAAACTAAGTTATCTTTCATTTTATATGTATTAAAAGACGAAAATGATTAACTACTCTAAGTAAAAACGTACAATGTAATAAACTGCCAACTGTCATATAAAAATTAAAAACAATTTATGGTAACAAAAGTTTTTATTTTTATTTGAAGCAATAACAAAATTAGTAATAAATAAGATAAAATTTGAGCAGTTGAACAGTATAATTTAAATGAATAATGCACGAAAGTTTTTGATTTTATTATTTAATAATAAATTACAATGCTAACCATTGTGCAAGTAAGAAAATTATGTATACAAATGATCAAATAAATTATTATCATAAAACAATTGAGTAAATTTTAAAAAATCTAATTTACTCATTACAAGTTAAATTTTTGTACAAACATTACATACATCAATTGACCAATTTGTTTTTAAATTATCGATAAAATAATTATTATAATTAAGTACTTAATTTTTGTACAAACCGACTTATTATTTAACTATAAACATAAAGTGTACCCATATTATGTAATATATTGTCATATTGACAATGAACATACATAAGTTATATTGGGAAACTCCGTATCAATTATAAACGATTATATGTTTTTAGAAAAATAATTAATTATAATAATATATAAATAACATTACAAAAAAAAATTACAACTACACATGATAAAGTTATAATTATCAATTAACTAAATCTAGTATAAATATATTTTCTTTTGCAATTTCAACGTTTTAATTTCAGTACTGGTCATTTTATTTAAAATAAATTAAAAATATAATAAATAATGATAAAAAAACTCGATTTTTTTTTTTTATTCTTTCTTGTTTATTCAAGTCTTGTTCGCATATAATTGATTATTTACGTAAAAATGATGTATAATCAATTATTCGACGAATTACGACCTTTTAATGAGTGTTCTTTTCCATCAGTGATTCCATTGGATACGAACGTTCAATGTTGCGATTTATTGGCTTCTTTATACCGTTGAGTTCGTCTTGAATTTCTTGTAAAGATTTGTTTTTGGTTTCTGGGACCAAGAACCAAACAAATAAGGTTCCCAGTAAACAAAAACCGGCGAATATCCAAAACGTGATACCATAATCGAACCAGTCTATAAGATTTCTATAAATCTTAACGACTAAGAATTCCAAGAGCGATGCAATTACACACACAATACCCAACGCTAATCCTTTGACGTCGGGACTGAAAAGTTCTCCCATCATGACACCAGGGATTGGGCCAAAACCAAGCGAGAATGTAACTATGTATAAACTCAGAGTCAACAATGGAATAAACGTGTAACTAGACACATTTACTCCATGTTGTCGTAGCCAGAAGTAATATCCTAGACATCCCAAACAAACAGCCATGACAGAGTCAGATATTAAAAGTAATACACGACGACCCGCTTTGTCTACTAATAATGCTGAAGCAAAAGTAAAAATTACCTATTAAAAAAAAAAAAAATCGCATAAATAAAATATGAAACATAATTAGTACACTAACATATAAATAATAATTATATGTTATTTACTTGGAGTACTCCAATGATAATAGTACAAGTAGCTTCTCCAATTTCACCACCGCCATCATGGAAAATGGATTGGGCATAAAAGATGAATGAATTAATACCCGAAAATGATAAGAAACTAAGCAACCCCATAACAGCGATAGTGGCTCGTATTGTGGCTTTGGATGATAATAAGTCTTTAAATGTTGCGCTACGTGATTGTTCCTCCTCGTATTGTTTTTGCAATTCATCTAACTCTCCTTCGATATCATAATCGTAACCACGTAATAATATCAGAGAGCGTTCGGCATCTTTTCTTCTACCCTTTCGCAATAAATAAGTGGGCGTTTCTGGTGATAGCAAAAGTACTAACAAAAACATTAGCACTGGAATTATTGCACACAAAATTGTTAACAATTCATAATTGACAAAAGGTCCAATTGCGTAAACGTATAAAATGCCCAATGTTACTGCGACTTGGATGTAAGATCCGAGTTCACCTGAAAATAAATATTATATCTCCTATAATCAAAATTGATGATCAAATCATTTTATTTAGCTAAGACTTATAACTATCAATTCAATGATGTTTAATAAAATTATATATATTTTACTAGTATGTAGATGATAAATTAATGCTGTTACTTAAATTTTAAGAAAATTATAGTAAATAAATTTCTGCAAGAATACTAATTAATAATATTTTTATAATTTAGAACAGCATTACAATTTTATTTAGAGCAATACATTTTTGATTTTTTCAGTCGCAAAAGGGCATTTTGCTTTTCCTTGACGAATTAACTTACAAGTAAAAAGGAAAAAATAAATATTTTGGTTATATGACCTTTTGCACCTAGACGACTTTACTTAAGTCAATATAATAATAAGCGCTTATATTTTGGTAATGTTTAGGTTTGATAGAGGGAATAGATGGTGTAAGTTATTTATTCTTTAACTGATAAACTTTTTACGGTGAAAATAAATTGCCTCGATGTCAACTGAAAATAGACCTTGTAAAAACTATAAAATAAAATTGGTAATCGCTTTTTTATATCTCATTAATTTGAAAAATACAACTTATGATGTATCCAACATATGAAATTTATATACAAGTTTTCTGTTTAAAAACGTCAACAAACTTTATTACTATAAAAAAAAATTTGCCAGGTACCTAAAAAAATTAAATATTTTATAATTTAAGTTTATTATATGTATACTTGACTTTATTTGTCCTTAATGGTTTGCATGCGTACGTATACATAATATAATTATTGGACGACAAAATTTTATTAAACGTGTTATTATACATAGGATATCCACATTAAGATTCATTTACTAATTCCACAAGTTATTTATCTAATAAGAATTTGAAACATGTTTTATGGTTACTTTAAGCTAGATTACTTTTGAAATTACAATTAGTTAATAACAATTACATAATTAAACGATTTATTAGTATTAGTATATTAAGATATGATTTCATAAAACATCGGAAAGTTCTTGAAAATATAAAGAACTTACAAAGGAAATATATTATTTTATTATTATTATTACTATCTAATATTCCTATAAATTATAGGAATATTATTCTGTTCATTAAGCTAATGGATGGACAGATAGTTATCCTTTTTTTACAGAGTACACATTGATTAAGATAAATGATGTCTGAAAATAACATGCGTACAATTTGACTTTTTTTTTTATTATATCAATATTTATATATAAATATTAAAAAAAACAGTACTGTCGAGATCCGACTAAAGGAGGTCTACTGCAACAGTCATCAGTATAGATTAAAATCTAATAGTGATTAACTTCAATATCATAAAATGCTTCAATGGCAATGTACACATTGAAATTAAAAAAAAAAAAAATCGTGAAGGAGATTTACTAACCTTAACTCCCTTTTTTAATGACTTTGAAAACAAAATATTATATTAAAAAAAAACTCCCTAAAAATATTTTTGTAAAATAATTCTGATAACTTCTCTGAATTTTGTGATTTTTACGTAAAAGTCGCACTTTTATCTTTGACAAAAGTTAACAAATAGAAGACAAGTCTAGAGGTTAATTTCTTCTCAAAATGAATGTATATATTTCATTAACTTAATTTAAAGTACATTTAAAAGGTGATAGGTATAGTGGAAATTTTTTAAAAATTAAAAAAGAATAATGTTATTGATATGTACAAATTTCTTTATAACCCCCCTTTTTGAGTAAGTAAATTTTAAATCAGTATTTATATAAGAAAGAATATTTTTAATATTATTTATTATCATTTGTTATGTCATCGAGCAAAATCGGTCCAGTAAGAGCAGAGAAGAAAAAAAAATCGCATAATGGGACGCGGCATAGTTGGAAATTACAAGTTGGACAAGATATAACGGTGATTGTTATCGTAAAAAACTACTCCATGCAAATCTCCTATATTTATTGTTGAAGTAGTATATTTTAAAACCATAAAACTAATAGAAATAAATATCGTCACAACGTTTTCTTTATATTAATAATAAAGTACGTTTAAAAATCTTTAATTTGGAACAGGTTTTGGTTTTTTCAGACAAAAATAACTTAAAAATTGGAACAAGCAACTATTATATGGCACACTATGTTCTAATTTATACGAAAATAATTATTTGACTATATTTTGTGATTAAGAAGGCGGTAATCGAAGATTTTTACGTAAACCGTAAATACATGTTTTAGTTCATACAAATAAATACTTACCTCTTATAGAACTTTCGGCAATCTCGCCGATGTACATGGGCACAGTTGCCGTGACTCCGCCAATAACGGCACCAGCTATCAGTCTAGCTATGCATAGTTCAATAACGGATTGAGCGAAATATATTATTATCCAACTGATGATAAAAGGTATGGCCAGTGCTGCGATAGTAGGACGTCTTCCAAAAATATCAGCACCCTTGCCGGCTGGTATAGATCCAATAACAGCTCCAATAGCGATCAACGAACTCATCCATGATCCTTCTTCGTCGGACATTGCGAAACGTGGATGATTTTCTGGTTTAAACATCACTAATATTGGCGAAGACCATCCTAATACAGTACCCACCGCGAATGGGCCAAGAGTTGCTGGAAAAAATGGATTATTAAATCTAACGCTCTAATATAAGATGAATCGTTACTCTTAAAACATTTTGTAAAATTAATACTTTCTCAGCTTCGCATCAAAACTAATATTAATGATATTTTTATTTTGCTAAAATTAGGATCGATCAGAATGCATAAAAGTTTGTACACGATGAAGATATGTATTGACATTTAAGTATTAATTTAAACGTTCGTTTCTGTATAATTATACAATCATAAATCTACCTTTTTTACAACTTATTAACGAATGGAGTTAACTTTTGGTTTGAAATTGTAATTTTTCGTATTTAATCTTACAACTGTATTGTTGATGTCAAGAAATTCATTGTTATGTGTTAAAATTTGATTGTTAACGAAATATTTGTTTTATCGTAATAAAAATGTGTACCAGTGATTTTTACTTAATGTAACAAATTCAATAAAACAAGACGATACTTCAACTTGTGGTGTAGCTCGGTGAACTCATTGTCTATTCACGCATTCAAATTTTAACGTCATTATACAACTACGGCAATCATAAAATAAATATAAGATAAAATACTTAATATACAACAAAATATGAGTACAAATTCTCAAATGTAGGACAGTATTGATAAGTTCACTTGTTCCTTAAGTTTTTATAACCCAGAATAAAGTACTTAAGTTTAATTTAAGATTATAGGATATTATCACTATTTCTATACAAATATATATTTAATTAATTTTTAATCAAGCAAATGGTTCATAGGTTGGGTTAATAAGAACTGCAATTTTATAGGATCGACTATTGATAGTAATTATTATAGCGTACATTATTTTATTTCAACTAAGAAAACTGAAATGAATTATCACCAAAGTTCTTGACATGGTTAAGCATATTTAAGATTCAACAAAAAATGCATAAGTAACATTAACTTTATAAAAAATATTACTCAACTATGATTTGATCTAACTTTTTTGTTTACATGGTTAAGCATTACTTGCCCAAGGTGTTGGGTGTTTTTTTCCAAGGAAAATACATTTTTCATATTTTTCCTGTCAATTCTTTCATCAATACTTCTACGAATAAATATTACACATCAAATTATATCATCGTGTACTATGCATTGTTTTCAAATGAGCCATTTAATAAAGAGAAAAAAACTCAACATTTTACATAAAAATGTAATAATAATTCTAAATGTATTCAATCAAATAATAAATACAATTGATTTGAAAAAGGCACAAATATTGTCAAATAAAAACCTGATGAGCAATAAATCAACTGAAATTTTATTTATCTATCCGACAGTTATATAAACATTATGTTATAACAGCGTTATCGATTTTTAATGAAGGATTAAACAATGCTTGTACATATTTCCATTTAAAAATTTAAATGATACCGACACTGAATGGAAATGAACACTATATATTTGTAAAAGCAAACACGCGGCCGTCCAAGGCTTCACATACGCTCAGACCGCTAAATCTTAAAAACAAAATTCGAAGGTCATTTCAAAGCCACCTTCAGAAAAAGGTTTCATTTAATTTTTTTTTACTCCAATTGACTTCTTCTCCATGAATGACGCATTGTTCCGAGTATGCAAAACTGCTGCAATAATCACTATTACAAATGTTAGATAACTGAAACTTAAGTTCACTATAGTTATCTCCCGTTGTAACATTAAGGAGTTTTTACAAAATGTGATAAACGTTGTTCGGATTTTTATTCGTGTACAAATATAGCCATATTCGTGCATTATGGTAGAAATTTCACATTGTATTATATTTCAGGAATAATTCACGTTAAACCATTTTTTAGTTCGATAGTATAGAACATTCTACAAAAACGTTGAGATCAATCAGATTTTACCTTCTAATTTTCACTAGTCACGTGGAGCTAATAAATATTTCGATTAATAAAATATTATTTTTTGTTCTCATAATACTATTGATACACATAAGTTATAATACAATGCAAGTTCAAAAACTTTGTACATTTTAACGATAAGCTAAAGCGAAATTACTTCAATCTTTTAAACGGTCTAATAAACAAATTAATAATTAATGTTTCCAATGCTGATTTCTTCACTTAAAGAAATATTTTCCTAATGTATAATGGCAATCTCTAATGACGCTACCGATGTGTCCCGTGACAGACACGTGTTCGCTTTTATAACGAAAATAAAGATGTTAAAATTAACATGGCGAGTCAGTTTAAAAATACCAGAGCTAAACGTGCAATATGGTGTTAACGTACAAAATTAAATAGGGTATTTAAAAATTTGTATAAAAAATGGTATAAACCATATGTATTAAAATCGAGTACTTACTGGCCAATGAAGCAGCGTACTGACGAAGCTTTTTACCTTCTGCCCGGGTATGTTTGGGTCCTTGAACGGACAGCATACTGCTGAACACCGACAAATCCATGGTGGTTTTTTGTTTTTTTCAAGCACACGCGAAAAATGAATAAATGGTTGATAATGGTGAAATAAATGAAAAATTATTATGTTCGTCGCCTAGTTGCAAATAACGCAACGAGCTTACGGCGATAATTCCAGTAAAAAACCACGTTTAAACGCAAATATCGGTCGCGATGACCAACTGCATTAACGAACGGGTAGCGGCTGTTAAAAAAAAATATTTGTAAAAAAAATCATGAGCGACCATAGGAACATGTCATATTGAAAATAGAATAAAAAATTCCCTACGAATCGGGAGCACAATGTGAACGCAATGTGTGCCGCAGACGCAGCTGTTAAACACCGACTCATTTGATAATATAAATGATATTATGGCCGTTGTTACCGCCAAAGCCAGTCAGTGTTTCGCCTAGTGCGCGCTCCTGTGGTGTTTACATTATCCATATTCATCTTGCGTACAACTCAAAACTGAATAACGTGTAAGCCCCTCTTACAATGGTAATTTATTTACATTTGGGATTTTGCTTTTGTGATACACTCATTTATTTTCTCATGTGATAACTTAAATTTTCTAATGAAAAATTCTGTTTTAGTAGAAAATAATTTACTGGGTTTTAATTATCTATGCACCTTCGAATAAATGTTAGATTGAATACTTTTAAATTCAAACTTAAATATATTCAATTTTTAATCGTTTATTAGAAAAATAATATAAACAAATTAATAGAAAATTTTCACAAAAAATGTGAGAGGTACACTTAGAGACGGACTGGCTTTTGTTACAGCATATTGAACCAGTTATTTCTTGGGTCGGTAAACAGCGACGCGGGTCGAATTTTTTTCTAACGCAGTGGGCCAAATACCGTTAATTACCTGGATGTTTTAGTAAAAATAGTAAATATTTCGGAAACTTTTAAGTTTTTATAAAAAACTTATTTATTTTGATTGTTATACGTTATTAAATATAATCATAAAATTCCAGAGACAGCAAAATTCAATTTTTTAACTTAGACTGAGAGTTTTTTTTACAAAACACTACATTAATGACCTATAATCAAGATATAATCTGTAGTTTATCAGTAATAATACAATTTTCTTATCAATACAAAGTTCACAGATGAATTCTCAATTAGTAATTTTTTTCTTCAACAATGTCCTCACTAATAAATTTCACCTTCTACAAAAATCACGTGATGTAGTAATGTGACTGTGACTACTAATACATTAGGAAGTGTACAATATAATGTTGGAAAGCTCACCGATTTATTGTATTTGTAAACAGGAAGTATGGTGAAGGATAAAAAAAAATTAAAGAAGGAGGCTAAACTGGCACAAATAAAAACGTTGTGTAATAAGATTATCCAAAAACCGTAAATAAAAAACAAAAGATTCATTCCGAAAAATAATTTTTCAAGCTGATTTATATGATCATTTTTGCGAATAAAATTAAATGGCAACTAATTTTTCTTATTCAACGTTGGTTTATGTAAACCATATTAAGTAAAATGATATTACATCAAGTTATTTAAACTAATAAATTATCGTTAAATACTCGACAGATGTGTATAAGTAAAGCATTGTACTTATTATGTAAAACCCACTGGATCATCTAATAGCTATTATAAAACTTTGCTTTGTACGTAAATGCATTTATGATAATGTAAATTCATTAAACGGGAAAAATATTTTATTGTGGCTAAGTGATAAACAAAATGTTATATTTTTCTAAATTTCAACGTTTCCAACCGTTGTGTTATACAATAATTTCAATTTTATGACTTTTAAGTACTAGTATGAGATTAAATTATCATTTCATTTAACTGCATGAGCTAATATATTATAAAATTTTGTAGTTGTTACTATTTGATAGGCGTAAAAGTTAATAAACTAATATATATTTTTGGTGCTAATTCGTTTTAAGAAAATACACGGCATCAAACACTCAAAAGATACAATCTATTTTTAATGTGAATACCTAACTTTAAAGAAATTATCTTTCATGCTTAAAATGTTTGAGTCCATTTTTGAAATGCTTACTAATATATAATTCTCTCGAACTACCTGGAATAAGAGATATGATATGTGTGTTAGCTACAAGTAAAAACAGACGTTTTAATACTTTAATAATTTTTTATATAAAAACAGTTTTAAACATTATAACTAAATTGTAATATCCTACGTTAAATTAATAAAATTCATATATTTATTACATTGCAACTTATTTCAGTAAGACTTAACGTCTAATATACTTATTCAAATTTATAACATATATGTCTACATAAATATATCTTAACAAACAATTAAAATATTTTAAAATAATTTATTATGATATAATTGTTACTTACCAATATTAAAATTAGATATTCTAATAATTATATTTTACACTAGTTTGTTATATAATAACAAATTTAACAGTATAACTTATTATATTGAGCATAATGTACATTATATTTAATACCTATTAAACTTTTCAAAAGAATATCATATAGAATACACCGCATTTTAAAAAAGTAATTATTGAAGAATAATACATGAATTTTTTTGGAAAATAAATATTACAAATATGTATAATGAGAAAATTTATTCAAAAATTTGAAAATAATTATTAAAATTAAAACAACTATTAAATATTTTACATTTAACAATGAAAAATAGATAAAAATCAAACATAAAAATTATAACGTAAAGAACGTAAATTAATAATATTATCATTGTAGTATGAAGTTAAGGCAAACTAGACAATTTTTAATTAATTTAGAAAAATTATTGTTTTTTGTAGCTAACAATATTTTATTTGTTTACATAAATTAAAAAATTCATAAATATCTATATGACAAAATAATTTTTATCTGTTCTACTGGGTAACTTTTTGTAAAAAATTTAAACTTAATTACATGTAAAATGTATAAATTGACTTAAATTTACAAACATTACATTGGCTAAAAGCCAAGCACCATTAATTAAAACTTTTACGCCCTAAAATAGAATAATTTTTGTACAATTTATAATTAGAACAATTATTATTACTGTCATATGAGCTTTAACTTAACCAAGTACATTCATTATTCGTAAATAAATTAAAAAAAGAATAACTTGTTATACTTAACTAGTCATGGAATGCAAAATATAAAAAAAAATTTGTGAAAAAATAGAAATTCTATAAAAATAAATCTATATATACATAGTTTTTATGTAAAAATTTCAGTGGAATATTTCATTAATTTTAATAAAAAATAATAATAATAAATTAAGTTTTTAAATCAAATAAATACATTTATCTATATACATGTTAACCTTTTTTCTTGTTCTTAAACCGTGGGTTAAAAAATACATGAGACCACCTTATTGTCAATGATAAAACAAATGTCGTTTTATTATACAATGCTAGCGTTCTTTCCAGTAAATGATTCCATTGGATATGAATGGTTACGATGTTTTGGCTTTTTTATACCGTTAAGCTCGTTTTGGATTTCCTGTAAAGTTTTATTTTTGGTTTCGGGTACTAAGAACCATACGAATAGGGTTCCCAACACACAAAAACCGGCGAAAATCCAAAAAGTAATTCCATAATCGAACCAGTCTAAAAGATTTCTATAAATCTTAACCACAACAAACTCCAAGAGTGATGCAATTACACACACAATACCTAATGCTAAACCTTTTACATCAGGACTGAAAAGCTCACCCATCATGACACCAGGAATAGGGCCAAAACCCAATGAAAAAGTACTTATATACAAACCCAAACTGATTAATGGCACTAAGGTAAAAGCAATTACGTCTACGTCATGTTCTTTAAGCCAGAAAAAGAAACCAAGGCATCCTAGACAAACGGCCATTACAGAGTCAGATATTAACAGTAAGATACGACGGCCAGTTTTGTCTACTAGCAACGCAGACGCAAATGTAAATACTACCTGCAAGTAAAAAATATAGATTTGAATATCATTTTATTTAAATATTTGTCGGTCTGTTAAAATAATTTGAATGTTGATTACTTACTTGAAGTAATCCAATAATTATGGTACTCAATTCTGGAGATATAGAACTATTCGTACGTTTGAAGATCGATTCAGAATAGAAGATGAGAACGTTAATACCCGAGAAAGATAAGAAACTGAGCAAGCCCATGACGGCAATTGATGCCCGTACTGTGGCTCTTGATGATATCAAGTCTTTTAATTTGCTACTTCGTTTTTGATCTTCATCAAGTTGTTGTTGCAATTCTTCTATTTCTCCAGTAATGTCATACTCAGGTCCTCGCAATAGTAATAAAGAATGTTCGGCTTCTTTCCTTCTTCCATTCCTCAACAGATATGTAGGTGTTTCAGGAGCGAGTAAAAGTACCAAAATAAACATAATTACTGGTATAATGCCACATAAAATTGATAACTCTTCGTAGGTTACAAATGGCCCAATACAGTAAACATACAAAATACCCAATGTCACTTTGACTTGAATATAAGAACCAAGTTCGCCTAAAAGTATTATTATAATAATCACATTAATAGTATCTACACGTTTTTTAAGTAATACAGATAATATGATTTTAAGAAATTATTTCAATAAATAAGTTATACATGTACAATTTTTCAATAAATTTGAAAAAAAAAATGCTATGATATTCTGTTTAAAATAAAAAACGGTAGCACAGTGGGGTCGCGGCATAGTAGAGACATTGCATAGTAGGGTCCAGTATAGATTTAATCTGACAGTGATTAAAATCACTATCATAAGAAACGCTTCGATGCAAATCTGTAGATAGTGTTTAATTTTAAAAAATTGATGGATAATTGCAAAAGCAACATCAACTTCTATTAAAATAAAATACAAAACCCATAATTATCATACAAAAATAGTATATTTTTCAATATGGTAGCCATTTGCGNATTTTTGGTTTCGGGTACTAAGAACCATACGAATAGGGTTCCCAACACACAAAAACCGGCGAAAATCCAAAAAGTAATTCCATAATCGAACCAGTCTAAAAGATTTCTATAAATCTTAACCACAACAAACTCCAAGAGTGATGCAATTACACACACAATACCTAATGCTAAACCTTTTACATCAGGACTGAAAAGCTCACCCATCATGACACCAGGAATAGGGCCAAAACCCAATGAAAAAGTACTTATATACAAACCCAAACTGATTAATGGCACTAAGGTAAAAGCAATTACGTCTACGTCATGTTCTTTAAGCCAGAAAAAGAAACCAAGGCATCCTAGACAAACGGCCATTACAGAGTCAGATATTAACAGTAAGATACGACGGCCAGTTTTGTCTACTAGCAACGCAGACGCAAATGTAAATACTACCTGCAAGTAAAAAATATAGATTTGAATATCATTTTATTTAAATATTTGTCGGTCTGTTAAAATAATTTGAATGTTGATTACTTACTTGAAGTAATCCAATAATTATGGTACTCAATTCTGGAGATATAGAACTATTCGTACGTTTGAAGATCGATTCAGAATAGAAGATGAGAACGTTAATACCCGAGAAAGATAAGAAACTGAGCAAGCCCATGACGGCAATTGATGCCCGTACTGTGGCTCTTGATGATATCAAGTCTTTTAATTTGCTACTTCGTTTTTGATCTTCATCAAGTTGTTGTTGCAATTCTTCTATTTCTCCAGTAATGTCATACTCAGGTCCTCGCAATAGTAATAAAGAATGTTCGGCTTCTTTCCTTCTTCCATTCCTCAACAGATATGTAGGTGTTTCAGGAGCGAGTAAAAGTACCAAAATAAACATAATTACTGGTATAATGCCACATAAAATTGATAACTCTTCGTAGGTTACAAATGGCCCAATACAGTAAACATACAAAATACCCAATGTCACTTTGACTTGAATATAAGAACCAAGTTCGCCTAAAAGTATTATTATAATAATCACATTAATAGTATCTACACGTTTTTTAAGTAATACAGATAATATGATTTTAAGAAATTATTTCAATAAATAAGTTATACATGTACAATTTTTCAATAAATTTGAAAAAAAAAATGCTATGAAATTCTGTTTAAAATAAAAAAATGACTATAATTAGTACACATTTCATTGTATTCATTGCGTAGGAAATATAACCTATTTATCAATTTAAAATTTTTACGTTAACTATAATTATGTTTTTTAGTTCATACAAATAAATACTTACCTCTTATAGAACTTTCAGCGATCTCTCCGATGTACATGGGCACAGTTGCTGTGACTCCGCCAATAACGGCACCAGCTATCAGTCTAGCTATGTATAGTTCCATAACAGTAGTGGCAAAATATATCATTGTCCAGCTGATGATGAAAGGTATGGCTAAAGCAGCAATAGTTGGTCGTCTGCCGAATATATCAGCACTCTTCCCGGCCGGTATAGATCCAATAATGGCACCAATAGCGATCAACGAACCTACCCAGGAGCCTTCTTCTGTAGTAATAGTGAATTTTGGAGAATTTTCTGATTCTAAAATTGGTAATACTGGTGATGTCCAAGCCAATACGGTGCCCACCGCAAAGGGACCGATGGTAGCTAAAAACAAATTAAATTAAACAATTAGTTCAAGTTATAAGATAATTTTTAAACAAATCATATTTTATTGTTTTTATATGAGTTTATCTTATTATTGTACACTAGATGTTCACAATAGATGTCACAAAGTCAACAACCTCAAAATAATGCAGAAACTTTTAAATAAATCAGGCTATAATTATTTAGGCTAAACTTCTTAATGAGTAACCCAGCACATTCATAATAAACATAATCTTAACTTGTAATTAATATAATTTTTAATGTATTCGCGTATAAACATCACCATTAAGTCAAACCATAGTATAATGGCGTTACCATACAGTGTATCTTTTAATATTAAATTTAACGGTATTAGATGGCTCATTAGGTCACATTTAAATTTGTACGAAACGGAAGGAATAAGAAAAAGAGTAGGGTTTTCATTAAATGTAATTACATTAGCCAAGGACCTTCCAATAACACCAGTCAAAATTCATTACCTCTGCTAATGTAGAATGAGTAAGTTTTCCCTAAGGCAGGTGGTGTGTTCGTTGATTTTCTGCAACGTCAACAAAATATAAAACATTTTTTATAATCTGGCATCAGTCTTTGATATAATTACAAGTTAAAAGACGTCATCTATAAAACGAGTTTTGATTTAGATAACATTATTGTTAAAACAACACTAAAGCACTACAACACTATTATAGTTCAAATTGAAATTGACAGCTGAATTTTTAGATGAGAATTTTTAGTCTGACATTGAGTGACGGAGTAAAACAGGCATGATAAAGCATATGTCTGGTTCCATAATATTAATACTACAAAATGGTATCGATAGTGTACTGTCCAATCATTATAACTATTCTTATAGTCAAGATCAGTTTCTTCTGTCAATTTTTCTTTATAATAACCAACAAAAATTATATTGTACCACATATTTATGTCAATTAATGGTTTTTATTGGTAAAATATTTTAAATATTCCATATCAGAGTTTTGATTAAAAGAAAATTCTAAAGGTTAAATGGAATAACTTGAAATTTTTAAAAAAAATATATTAGAAGTTTTTTAATAAACTTTCCATTAAAACATAATCTTCATATATTGATGATAAACAGTTGTGTGCTTCATTTAGACGGATAATTATCTCTAGTCCGAAGTTAATCTTATCAGTGCAAGTTATATGCCAACAATTAGTAGTAGAATAAGTGCAATAATAGTGAGTTTCATAATCTTTAGCCAAAGTATTACTTTACAATACCATTTTTATACTTTATAAGCGGTTTACTGATAATAGGCATATTAGACTAATATATCTAATATTTCAACAGGTTTTTAAAAATAAATTTTTCGATTTAAATTATTTTCTATTTGAATTGTTTGGTAATAAATCTAAAAATTTTGAAAATTAGCGATTTCTAAATTTGTAATTTTTTTGGATATTTCCCCCATTTGCAGGGAACGAGGGAATTTTTTTCAATTTTTAAGGGTAATGTCTTCAACTAGATACGATTTGTGATCTTTTGACGTATTTTTGAAAGAAATCGGTCCAGTGAGAGCTGAGAAAAAGTGGCAACAGACATAAAAAAAAAAA